AAATTGCTAATAGGTTAGAAGATTAATTTTCTGTAAACTAAAATCAATTCTACTTGATTTATTAAATTAATGTTGTGGTTAGAGTAAAACTGTAGTCAATTTGCCATAGACTGCAACAACCAAGCGTGCCACAAAAGCAAGGTAACACAGAATGTTCAATAAACGCTGACCACCATTGTGTGCAAGGGCTGTCCTGTATTGTTATATAAAAAAAACACTCCTGGAAATATGTCAGATTAACACAAAATTAAAATCACATGTGATCCACATTGGCATATGAGAACACTATATATTTTCATATTATTTATATGTACCTGACACGGTCTTTCATTGTTGCAGCAGTGATGCACTTTTTTTTCTATTTGTATCTAAGTACTACAGCACAGAGTTCATGGACAACAGCAGCGCTCACATATTCACAGATTAGTATTCTCTCTCTGCTGTTTGAACTGTATGGAGAAAAAAAACAATTACCCTAAAGGTTATCAATTCTCAGGATTCTTGTATATATGCTTAAAGTTTAAGTACAGTGGCACAAAAACAATCTGAAACTTATCTTGTGGTACTTCAATAGGTTCTTCGTACTACGTTACCCATCAAACTAATGTGTTATGGATGCATGGTGGTTTACTGATTCAATGTTGCATCATTACAAAAATTAAAATCCTTGTGATTTTAGACTAAAATAGAGACATGAACTTACAAAAAATGCTTTTGACACAACCAACCTAATCAGTTGAATACTGAATTGCCACCATTGTTTCCCATCCCCTCTGCAGCGGTTGAAGTTATTGATTGGTTGTATGCCTCAGGAATGTTCCATACGTCGCACTGATCCATCATGATGGCCAAACACAGCAGGTATCACTCCGTCAATATTTGGCATTTTCTGTCTACTATGTTTCTCATCTGCATCTTTGCTCTCTTTTGTCTTTTTAACCTTTTTATGTACTCCATTTCCCATTGACATTCTGAACAGATGGTGGCCACTGTGACGTGTAAAGTGGGTAAAACTGTACTGTATGTGGTGTCTGGCCCCTTCATTGTAGCTTGATGTAGAACTCTGTCTTTCATATCCACTTTACACCACACACTCCGCTATATACACTCACGTCTGGGAGCTCTTGAGTACAAAATAAATCTTGTCTAGCAGGCTTTTGAACAGTTTGGGGTCAGAGACTTAATCAAGGCCTTACATAGGCTGACCTTAGAAACAAAGAAATGCCAACTCATGAGCCCCAACTTCTGTAAATGTGCAATTTATCAACTTTGACCACCACAGATTTAGTTTTTCATTGACACTGCAATCTCCATCAAGCTCTACACTTGAATCAAGAAAAAATAAACTTTATTTAAAGAAATTGTCTAAAGGACAAACATCCAAGACACTGATGCATAGACTGCTGTAGTTGAAGAAGCAAATCTGCGACTGATGGGTCCTGTGTTTGAAAACCTGCACCAACTCGGTTGTCCAATTGCATTGGGCAGCTCACAGGTTTGTTTCTCTGCATAACACTGGCAAAGCATTAAGTCTCCAAGATAATAACTCATTTATACAGCACAACTTTAATGTTTTATGGTGTCACAATTGCCATTTCAGAGGACACAAAAACATTGTTTCCCTCTGCGGTGACAGAGGAATCTGAAGATGTATTCGGGAGCAATTTGCACATCTGCTCGACTCAATTTGGGCCACCCTTCACAGGCACAAGTCTCAGTAGAGATTCTTTTCTATTTAGCTGCTTCTCGTGTCAAACTCAATTGAATGACCACATAAAACAAATTGAAATTAATTTGCTTGAGGGGAATATGAAAGAATTACTATTAGAGATACAAGGGGAAGGGAGTTATCCCAAACAAACTGTTGACAGTGAATATGAAATAAAAGCCACTGTCATTGTGTTCCTGGGAGAATCAAATTGAAAAGGAAACACAAAGCAGATTGGTTGTTAAAGCCACTTTATTTTGATCACTGAATGTCTACTGAATAGTCGTATATATGTCTCTCTCTCTCTCCCTCTTTCTGGTTGTAATTACTTCCTCTGGTTTTTGTTTCTTATTAGGCCTCTTTACATATAATACCATACATAATCAGGATATACATATGTCCATTCACATTAGTGACTGTATATTCCAATTAACACAATTTCTGAAGAACAACATTTAAAAACGTACAGCTTATTAACTAAGCAAGTATACACAAATCAATCTTGACTATTTGTCCTTAAACCTTCCATTTTTTTTTCAAAAGGTCAACAAAAAAAAGGAAGTAAGTAAGATTTACATCTTTTGTTTGAAATGGCCAAACACATACCAAAAGTGTTAGAGACACGCCTCTTTTGGTGCATGTTGGGCTGTCTAAAACAATAGGTGTTCCTCAAAAGGGAAGTGTCAGATGCTTTCAGTGCATTTGGGCCATAAGAGTCTACAGCCATGTCAGTGGTGTGAGGCTGCACTGGGACACAGCAGCTCTTAAAGCTACTGTGAAGTTGCTTGATGTTTACTGGGTATGTTTACCATGTTCACCATCTTAGTTTATGTTAGCATGCTAACATTTGCAACATTTACTAAAAAATATAATCAGTTTTGCAGGTAGTTGATCATAAACCAAAGTATTGAACAAATTAAAATTTTTATCTGAAGATAGCGCTATATGAAAACTCAGGGGATCACCCAAGTTAATACACTTTATCCTGAACGGGGCATGAGCATTCATAGAAACCCATCCAATAGTATCCGAGTATAATAATACCCGAGATATTTCACTAAAAAACGTCAACTTCACGGGGGTTCTGTAGTAAAAGGGAGTCAATAAGTGTCATCCTCTGGGGACTGTGAATGTCTGTAGTTTGGCAGTTTATCATATAGTCGTCGAGATATTTCAGTCTGGACCAAAGTGGTGAACCAAGCAACTGACAGACCCACAATGCCATCCCCAGAGAATAAGGCAAGAGTTGACAAGACATGCACCTAGCTACATTTCATTTATTTTGTTGTCATCTTACATGGGTAGAGCCACAATCTGGCACCACTCATGGATTGAAGGAAACCCATGAACCCAGTGCTTAGTTAGTTACCTTAAATCCAACACACCAAGATATCGAGAAAAATTCCTTCTCACCCCCGTCTGTCAGTAACTCGAACCCCACCTGCAGTCGATTCCTTCTTGATGAGCCTACAGTAAAAGTATGTAGAATAAATAAATCCTCCCTTTCTCCTTAACTCCCCGAGGTGATCCTGTTTCCTTTGACCAGACTAAAAAGGAGGCTTCTCTCCATTCCTGAGATTTAAATATGACAGCATGTGGGAGACATATTTGCACTTCAAGATTAAACATGTCTCTGCTACGTTCCTGTCAGCACGGCGTCCGTACAGAACAAGAGCAGATGGAAGCCTTTTATTGATGTTGTGATCAGCTTTTCAGGAGAAAGTCTCTTTGGGAACCAATTTAGATTTAACAAGCCTCCTATGGGGGGTGGAAAGGGGGGAGGTGGGCTTCAGTGAGTTCACCGTCACCTGAGGATAATTTGGGACATGGAAGGTAGGATACAATAGGAGGGAACAATAACACATAAAACACATCTGGGAAGTAGGAAGGTTTCAAACTTCCAAGATAGGAGGATAAATGAGGGACTGAATCCACCAGAGCTCGAAGTGAGGCATGGTAATTTCCATAGAATGATTCAACTGATGCTTTTTGGGATCTTCATCCTATAACCATTGAGCCAATGTGCCTCATATTGCCATTCAAGGCACTTTGACAGTCCCTTCAGAGAACAACCATGTTGAGGTCTTCCCTCCATGCAGCATGAAGTAAAAAGATCTGATTGGGTCTATCGCCATGACAACTAGGCAACTCCATCAGACACAAACAGGTAATTTCCCCTTTGGGCTCTGGGAAATGATGGACACTGTTTTCTACATTTTCATCATCAAAACAATAATTTAGAGAAAACTCAATAATGAAAATAATATCTCCTGGACATGGTTGCCATGTGTGACACGTCATGGCTGCCTTCTGCCTGCCCCACTTCAACTATACCCAGTTACTCAAATTTGGATTTTCTGGCTCCATTAACAACAACGATAGCCTAAAGATTAAAACAAGGCTTCAAACACCCCTTTGGAAACATATGGATGATTAAACAAACTTGCCCCTTTTTTTTAATTCCTTAATGAAGTCACTAATGGCACTTTTTAGTCTGACTAGTTAAACAATACATTGAACTGTGGGGAGACAGTTAATTGCATTCCAATCCAGTTGCTTTATTATTTTTTTTCCTCATTATGGAAGCAAAACTTAAAAGTCAACACCCTAGGTCAGTTTCTAACAAAATAACTCAGAATAACAGTCTATCATTAGTCTGTGCAGTTTCAATTTACATTTTAAATTGATTGCACACAAAGCGGATTAACCGGCAACCCTTGTAAATACAGAGTGTACAATCAAGCCGTTAAAGTAATTTTCTGGTTTGTGATGAGCTCTGTTATGAGACCACTGCAAGGAATCATACAACAGACAGCCTCTCTGGGGGACTGTATGGCACTTACCATTCATGCTCATCAGATGGTTATTATTTGTGAATTTGGTAAACACTTCATTTGTCAGCATTCCTACATACTTAAACCCTCCCTTCTCTCTATTCACCCTCCTATCTCTCCTACAAACTGACAGGATGCCAACAAAACATTGTCTCATGTTTGAATGACTGAAGGTAGGAATAAATAAAATGCTAGCACACTACATTGGTTAGACTTTCTACACTGAAGAACTGGACTCTCACCAAGTCTGACTTTTTTTCTGTTTTTCTATTTTCCTCTCTGTTACGTTTTGAAGTTCGGCTGACTGGCAGGTCTGAACGTTCACACTAATAAAGGTTACAGGGAGCTTTAAAAGTGCCAAGTTTATTTCTAAAGTAGATGTCTGTCAAAATGACTGGCTTCTACACACTCACCAAAATACACACACATACACAGACAATTGCTCAACACACACAGCCTTTTCTGTTATTCCACCAGTCTGACAGTTGTTTATTCTTCACCCTAAAGCAGAAGTTCACGTGCTGAGGTGGTCAAAACATCACAAGCTGCTAACTGAAGCACCAATGCTGATTTAGTGATTGTATGTTATTGGCTGCTGATGGTGTTAAAAACCCAAAAGATAAAGCTACAAACTGCTGACAAAGGAGCAATGAATGAATATGTCACAATGTTCTTGCTTAAAAAAAATGAATGGACTTTTGGCGATCACATTTGAGACTCTGGTGGTTTTTGTGTCAAAACTCAGAAATAAATATTTCAGTAAACTGTTACACATGTGCTGTGTCCAGCAAGCATGGAATAAAGGGTCTCCTACAGTTTATCTTAGGAAAGCAATGTGGATGCTGTAAATCTGCAACGGGTATTAAAAGCTGAAGTTTTGGAAGACAAATTGTTTGTATGAGCTTTTGCTCTCAGACTGGCTTTACTTCAATGGCTAGCTGACAGTTGTCAACCAGGAAATGCACCTCAAAATCTCCCTTTGTACACAACTTAAGCGGTATCTAATGCAAATATTCCCCCTACTGAACATAGCCAACATGAACTAGACCTAGACATTGACCACCATCATGCTATTGTGTAAAAGAGAAAATAAACTATAGAAAGAAAAAGACAAAAGACACTTGTCACAACTGATTCAATAAATTTTCTCGCAACACCAAAATAAGTAAAAAATTACATTGTGGATTCACTAAATGCGGACAAGAAAGAACCAAATATAATCAACTTACACGTGATACACCCAGAATTATGTTTGCAAACTCTTGGCCTATTATGAGAAACATTTAGTGTTGAAAAAAAAAAAGAAACTGCATAACCTGCATGCATATGGAACAGTAGATCACCAGATTTCACCATGAACAAAGTCGCATATACAGTACTTAAGTGCAGTGTCAAGTACAGTGTACAGTTACCTAATATGATCCCTGTCACAATGAGAGAGAGAACCTAGGCATCTTTGAGATTTTAAAAGGTACCCTGTGGTTCTTTTAACATACAGTGTTTCTCACCAAAAGGCAATGTGTGTATCCTTGAAGCCTAAGGAACCTCATAAAACATTAAAATTTTACATCCATGTTTGCTAGCTTTTGGTCTTCCCTACATTTCCCTTCTGCGAGTGTATTGCAACTTTAACCTGTCGATCAGGGGAATACGGTGACACCACTGGCAGGAATATGTGCGCCTTCGCCCACATGCTTGTGCAAAATGGATGCCAACTCAGCGAAACGTTGCTCCACAGTGCTCCTTGTGGTCAAAAAGTCCACAGGGTACCTTTAAAGAGGAATCTTATCCTATCTCAGCAGCGACATTAAAGATGAACTGCAGAGTTTTAAGTTGATTTATTTACATTCATACCGTTAAACATGTTTAAAATGATCTGAAAACAAGTAAGAAAGAGCTAAACAAGAACAATCCTGAAAAACCACAAAAAGGTCCAGTAAGAAAAATGCTACCTTTGTATCAGTAATTGTTCTCTGAAGAATGTTTCTCTAACATTAGTATCTGTGATTTCTCCACAATTCACATTCTGGTCAGATTTTTTTCTGTCAACATGAAATGTAAGTGATAAGAGTTTTTGTTAATCTACACCCATGTTGCTCAGTAGTGCTACTAGTGACCAAAAACATTGCAGTTCATCTTTAACGGCATTAATAAGCCTTTAGGCTTTGCCACACAGCACTGGTAATATTAGTACAGGCTGTACTATTTGCTATTTGAAGACAACACATTTTCTTACAGGTATTACAAACATGGAACATAGATATGGAACTAGAAAATACAGGCTTTTGTGGTGAAATGAACATTTGCTCACACTTGAGCTTCATCCATTCATGCCTTGACGTCTGGAGGTGGAATGAAATACAATTACGGGTTACAAAGTCAAATGAGGGTTAGGATTTGAGCATGTCACACACACAGGAAATCAATAACTTTTCTAAGAGTTGGGACAAAAGTTCAGTTTGTTTTATCTGGAATCTCTGGTTCATTTATTCAAACTCCAACTCCTGACATGTTACAACCCTCTATGTCCGAGACTCACTTTGGTTAACAGGTTTGAGTCACTATCTTTAAATGCATAATTAAGTAAGTTAACATAATTTCACAATCCAAAAAATATATATTTATATATACACGTTTAATAAAGCAATACACACCACATAACAATGGTATGGCGGTATGAGCGGAAGCTGAAGTGTTAATCCCAGATGTTTGTATGTGTTTAACTGCACAATTCAATGGATTTTCAGTCTGGGACCCACTGAGTACCAACACAGGGGGTTAAAGCAGGTGACACAGAGAGATATGGTTCTTCACTGGCTGACAGCAATCAGACTGTGAAGCCAAAGCAAAACACTTGATGCTAAATTTCTCTTCTCCATTGCTTCAGAACATGAGCGTATTCACAAGCGCTCCTGTGCACATCATATCACATCCAAAAGCTGAATCCAGTTCAACATTTACTTGCATAACATGGTAGACTAAGAGCAGCTGCTTGATCACTTGACTGAAAGCTATGGAGCAGTACACATAAATGTTTTAAAGTCTCTTGTCTGCCTGATACCATAGGCTTATTATATACACATATTATTTGTACCCTTTTTGTATTATTTTGACATACATATTTTTTCCTTTTTTTATGCCCTGTACAAAGCTTTAGAGTGCCTTTGTAAACTACACCTGTAATGCACTCTGCATTTCTCCCTGTGTCTGTAAATTTTAATAAAGTTAATTTAAAAACTAAGCTGAATTCTTGTCAGGTGGTTGGTTCTCTCTTTCAGGTGCTCTTCTCCAGCTCCATGAAGCCTCATCTCTAATAGTTTTGCAGTTCAGGGATGTTCTTGTAGAGGTCCAGCGAATCAGGGTTGGAGAAAGCTCCTCTTTGCGCCACCTCCCGCCCAGCAATCACCTGTTTCACAGCCACCTCCACCTTCTTACCGCTGATGGTGTACTGCAGAGGGATGAAGAAAAGGGTTGTCATTCAAGCCAGGGCTGATTTTTCAGATGTGACAATTGTGAAAGGATAATCTGACATGTTTATTCATATGTGATATTTAAAGTGTTCTTACAGGAATGTCTCTGGTCTCCAGCAGCAGAGCAGGGACATGTCGGGCAGACAGAGCTTTTCTAATGGCTCCTTTAATCTTCGCCAACAACTCCGGACAGAAGGGCTTACCAGGTGCCATCTTTAAGAACAAAATAACTCGCTCTTCTCCGTCTGTGTTGTACTGAGGAACACAAAGACTGTCTGACACTTCCTCAAACGCCTCCACTGCAGAGAGGAGAGAAAAGGAGAGGGCAGAGCAGAGGGCAAGGAGACAAAACAAAAAATGAGGAGAGCAGATGAGAGGCAAGGAGAGATGAGGAGGTGAGAGGTTAAGAGAGTGAGGCAGCAAAGATTAAAAGAAGAGAAGAGGAAAAGATTAAGTGTTGGTTGAGTTTGAGGACATTGGTAAGAAGAAAGGAAAATGTTTCACCATTTACAACTTCAAAACTTAGCACAGAAACATTCCTGCTGTCAATAGTAGGAGTAGAAGAAACTGTGCTTTTGTGGCATTCTATTAGCTGAACACAATGACTAGTGAGCTACCTTTTTATACCACCAACATAGAGGATCACTCAATTTAAGCTCACAACAAGGTTTTTGCCTTTCCTTTCTTACAACACACCGTGCTCCACTCTTAATGTTCAAGACTCACCAATGTTGTAGATCTCTGAGCTGCCAAATCGGACTCCGTTGGGATTCAATGTGCCATCACTGCAGAACAAACATAAGTTCAAGATTCAAAACTCTAGTGTCTGTCACTGGGAAGCTGTCTTGCCACACACATCATACAACACATCATAATGGAGAGAGAAAAACAGCAGACAGAAGCAAATTCAGTTTCTGTAAACTGGGGATTATTTCATTATTTCATTTTATTTATTTTGTGACATGAAGCAATCTTATACTGTGCCATAAAACAGCTCCAAGTGGACCTATTATGCTTTTCCTCAGTTTCTGTCATATATGTAATATCTAATGTTGATATCAAACAAGCCAAAGTGTCAAATAATAAGGTTAACATATATAGTACAGTGGAAAAATGTTGAGTAATCCTTGTGAGCAGAAAATAAACATTTTAGACTGCTCTGAATGCAACGTTTACAACGTCTTTTTCTACTTTACGTGACTAGCCAACGTGAGATCGTCACAGATTTCTTTTTATAGTCATCTGCTCCAGGCAGAGCACGGTGGAGCAGGGATACAACCATCCGGCTGCTGAGTCCGTCTAAGTTTAGAGAGAACTTAAAGTCTAAGTTTAACCTTTAGAGAGACAGCTTGTTTCAGAAGGATGAACTGAGGGGCTGCATGAAGGACCCGTTTAAGATAAATAAGGATGTTTTTGAAGAATGATACATGCAAAGCTCTTGTGGAGTCTCAGACTAAGAATATAGAACTGGAAATGAGCATACTAGTAATAATCCACTTTAAGAGCTTTCTTTCATTGTCTTCAAATAGAAGAACTCTAATATTTAATATCTGCAATCTGTATAACTATATTTACCAGTAAATCTGTCCACTTGCAAAATACTCTAAATAAATTAATCAATTAAAACTACATTGATTAAACACAATTCATATTTCATCATTCAGTTGTTCTTGTAGTAGTAGGTTAATATCTGACCTTCTGCCCAGCATGACAATGCCTCCTGTCTTTGGGTTGATTTTACAGTAGTCTCCGTGGGCCCACACCCCTAGAGAAAAGAAACACAATTAAGTTTAATTCAAGGTTGTTGGTTTTTTTTTTTTTTTTTTTTCGTAGAAATGCTTGGTAATAGAAATACACATTAAAAACAAATAAAACAACAATACATGCAATGAAAAGAAATCAACAGCTGGTGTGAAAAAAACAACCGTTAAGAATTGAATGTAATGTAATAATAAAAATATAAAAGATATTACGTGCTATAATGTTAGATGCAGTAGTAGAAAAAAAAGAGTATAAGTTGGCAGTATTTATGAGGGATACTGAATGGGACTGCATTATATCATGTGTATCAATGTGTTTTTCTTTCCTGGACTCTTTGCATGTATGTATACTGTATGTAGGGTTGTATTTATGTATGATTTTTGTGTAATTACCAGGATATGAGGAAAAGTACGCTTTGTGATATTTGCTTCCGTTCTCATCGTTCCAGAAGTGTGTTGGCTGGCAGGGGATTGGCTTCAAGCAGACAAGCTCCCCGCTCTCTCCCCATACAGGCTTACCTGTCCACACACACACACACACACACACACACACACACACACACACACACACACACACACACACACACACACACACACACACACACACACACACACACACACACACACACACACACAAATGAAGTTAGAGGTTTTTGACTACACTTTGCCACAACACACACACACATACATTTGAGCACATACCTATAAACACACACACTTACAAAACACACACGGACATACATATAAATCATTCTCAGATTTTAAATGTAATGTATCCCACACTCAGAGAACCTAATACACTTTAGTGTGTGGTTTCACACAGATTTCACCTCCTCCCTCAGGACAGTGTTATAGGCTTAGAGACCGACTAAAATAATCCCAAACTCTTCCTATAAAACTGCCTTTAAATTATCCCTCAATCCACTCTCCTTCGAGGTGGTAGAAACACACCAGTACAGCCTGTAGCAGGGATTGGGAGCTGGGGAACGAGGGACTAAAATCAATGAGAAAAACATAGAGGGGTTTTGAAGACTCCCATTGACAAATAATTGTGTTTCCCTTAAGTTTTGACCTGTATTCTATTTACCCGGAAAGTTCACTAATTACGGTCACAATTTTTCAGTGATGGCTAACTTCAAATTATAGCCTGCACAAAAAGGTACAGCCACATATGGGAGCAACCAGATATAACCACAGTCTTTCTGTTAGCTACCGAGCAGCTACAGATACAAATGGGATGCTTGCTCAAAGGTATGTCATAATTTTTTTTAATGGGCTTGTTATTAATATTTTTCCAGTCCCTCCTAGGATTCAAACTAGCAACTTCCTTACAACAACTACCTGATCCCCAGACCCTGTTGTTAGTAGAGATTGTTCAGTAAATCCCTTGATAGAGTTTTGGCTAAATAGACACACACACACACCCCCACACCCACACACCCACACACACACACACACACACACACACACACACACACACACACACACACACACACACACACACACTCTTACCTTCAATGCTCCAGGCTTCCACGGCCATGCCAAGGTTTCTTGATTGGATCTCGCCCCGATACACTGGAACTGTTGGGTTTTGACCCATGAAACACGACACTATGTCAGTACCGCCTGAGCAGAAAGACGAGAGAAAAGCAAACAAAGAGGGAGAAATTTAGTTGGTTGATGATCTGAGAGGAAACACTTTACTCAATTTACCCTGTGGAGTCAAAAATAAGTCCCAGTTTTGTTTACATTCAACTTCCTCACTAACACTGAATCTGTCCTTAAAGGATGGTAGTCAGATGCCATGCAAAACCTAACTTTTGGGAACAGGTGTAGGCAGCTAATGATTATTTTTGTAATTTGTTCGATTGCTGCTGATACCTAAAAGGATTTTTCTTTTTAAATGCCCACCATAATTTCCATTAATAACAACACAATCGTACAGTCGACAAACAGTGAATATGATTTGACACTAGGTTTAGCAACAATACAATCTGGGCATGTCATTGTGTAGTGTCCTGTGTAGCAAGCTTAGTTTAGAAGATTGGGTTGAAGGTCTACACAGTGAGATATATTTATGAATTATATAGCTAGATTTCTTCTTCATTCAATTCATTTATTCATTTCATCAGTTTCACTGGAAGTACTTAGCAGGTGTCCTACATCAAGAATTAATAGACATCCAGCAGCCAATCAGAAACCAATCAATAACAATTCTTCCCCTTACAGGCAAAAAAATAAAAATCAGCCACATTTTATGCATTTACTAACTTATGGGATAAGGTACCTATAAGTAAAGCATCACAGTGACCAGCGACATAATTAAACTAACTTGGTTGTGAGCACCCTGCTCCACCTCCATTGACCTATATACGAGTTCTACACCGTCATGAACACACACACACACACACACACACACACACACACACACACACACACACACACACACACACACACACACACACACACACACACACACACACACACACCATACTGCAGCACCATCCATTTGTCTCTTTCTACCTTCCAATCATCTACTATTTCTGACACGTTCTATTCATCTCCCTTCCCATTGTTCTACCTCCCTGTTTCGTTCCCTCTCTGTATCACAGACTCCATCCATCCATCTTTCTCTCAACTGCTCTCTGCCCTTCTACCTCTTCCTTCTCTCTTGCATTTCTTTCTGTTCTTTACACTCGTTCTCTCCCTCTCCCCCTCTCTCTCTCTCCGCCAGGTTCTTTATTGAGCTTTAATTGGCTCCCTGGAGGAAGTGAAAACTTTGTCTTCTGATTAAACACACACACTTATAGTGGGAAGACACGCAATTATTTTATTATTACACTCACTTTAATGGGTGGGCGCACACACACACACACACACACACACACACACACACACACACACACACACACACACACACACACACACACACACACACACACACACACACACACACACACACACACACACACACACACACACACACAGTAAAAGTAAAGTATATTTTAAGCCAAAAGCCACTGCTGCTTTCTTGGGATGCCTTCCATCATCAGCCATTTAGTGTGTGTACGGTGTGTGTATACACAAGAGGCAAACTTGTCACACTGATCTGATGTTTTCTAACAGCACTGACTATTCTGAACAGTGAAGAAAGATTTTTTGAACTCCCGAGTTTGTGTGTGTATGCGAGTCTGTTTTCATTTGTGTAGGCGTGAGTGCTTTGAACATCTTCTGGCACAGTTTGGGGTCAGGCAAAGCCACCAACTGAGACAAAAAGGCATCCAGCTGAACTACGAATGCATTCATATATTCAGATATGAATTATAAAAAGAATACACATAATAAAGTCACAGGGAGAAACACAAATCCAATACTTGTGGAGACACATGCAAACACAAATACATAAAACTCAACCACACAATGTTATGGAAAATAAAGGTTCCTTACAGAGAAGAGAAGAAAAGGAACAAAAATGGGGTAGAGGAGTGACATATGGGCAGTCAGGCGGAGGTATATTAGGATGGAGGGAATCCAGCAGTGAAAGTGTTAAATCCCTGCTGACAGGATAACACACAGACACACACACAGGCACTGAAAAACACTATAACTCACACATATGTTTGTAGACACACACACACACACACACACACACACACACAGGGTGAAACCGGCAAAGGGGCCCATCACATATGTCATCGTGACCACCAGTCAGTCACATATGCTGTGATAAATTCAAAGAACACACACACACACACACACACACACACACACACACACACACACACACACACACACACACACACACACACACACACACACACACACACACACACACACACACACACACACACACACACACACACACACACACACACACACACACACACACAGTGTGTTGACCTCGGGGGTCAAGGTTAGGTCGGTTGGCAGCCAACAGGATTGGCGCCTGCTGTTGCCCTTGACGACAAGGAGGAAACTGAGTGGGGCAGGACCTGCTGTTCTGAAGAATACACACACGGACTCATACATAGGCGCACACGCTCTCATATCCATGTACACATACACACAGAGATAGTCCCTTAATTAAAAAAAATCTAATTTATTATAACTTGGATCTCAATTTTGTAGTTTTCAAAATTTCAATCAATTATGAGATCATTGTACACGTTAATGTAACCGCTACAAAGAAGTCTGATAGGGTACGACATGAAATGATCAGACAGATTACAACCTACACCACTGACATTGAAAAAGTCAATGTACCCAAAATGTTATAATGTTTTTATCCCTTATAACAATCCCTTAATTGTGCAGGACCTGTGTGTGCTCACAATTATTAGGGTAAGCATGGCTGTCAGTCAAACAGTCAAATCCAAACCAGGAAGTCTGTGATCAACCCTGGGGATATGTATGCTCATCACACTGTTCTTGTTTCCTGCCTCATTTCACTTCTTGTTTATGCTGTCACCGTGCTCTGATCTCAGGAAACTCAGTCAGTATAATGTTCCTATGATGAATAGGAATGATGGCCAAAACTGCTCCTACTGTCCATCTCTTTTTCTTCCTCTCGTGCCAGGTTTCTGCACCATTGGTGACATTTCAGTCAATACTGATGTGTCCAATCCTTAGACCTGCATGTCACTGTGTGCATCTGTCTAAATGTGCACTGGTGTATGCATCTATCCGTGGACATAAGCTACACCCATTTGGGTTGTCATTCACAGTATGTGCATGCTGCTTAGATGCTGTTAGTCTCTGCATGTTTGACACTCCAAGCTGCTACTCGGTTTGTCTGTGCGTGTGTGGATGTGTGTCTCTGTCTGTGTGAGTGTGCGTGTCCGCAATACATCAGTCACCCAGACTGTGCTAAATGTTAAACGTTTCAGGACTCACAGAGAGACAGATAGCATTCTATTGGCCTGTCAGCATAACAATAGGCTGAAAGGGCCTGTGTGTGAGATAGAGTGTGTGTGTGGTGATGTTGTGGGTGGTGAATACAATGTACAGTTCTATACAATTTATTTTTCTGAATTTCCTTTGTATGAGTCAGTCCTTTTGTGTTTGTGTTGCAGATGCTTTGTGGCTTTATTTTGACTTTTGTGTGTATTGCTGCCAATGGTAATGTGGTGGACACAAACAACATTTGGAAAAAGCTTCTGCTGTTTGTACCCTTAGATGGAACTAAAGTGTTAAAGAAAAAAAGACAAAATGTGTCCCAACATCAGTCAATCACCTGAGATGGAGCCCAGCAGCACGTTGCTCTTAATGCAGCGGAAGACGTAGTCGTAGCTTTGAGGTTTGAGAGGAGATCCAGTAGACAGGATGGTGTGGAGAGACTGGAGATTGTGTGTTTCCCCTGTGGGAGGAAGAGATGAAAGAAAAACTTAGAAAAAGGAGAGGGACAAAAGATGAATTAGAAATTGCTTTACCTGCAGTATATCTCATTAAGGTACTGTATATTACTGTATTTTGAGTTTTTCAGTACCGACCAAAAAGTCCATTGGTATCAAGAACTACAGATTGTAAAAGTGGCATTGAATGTTGGTTAGTTTTTTACTCTTGTTTATTTAATTTTGCAGATATTTTCTGATATCAGGAAGCCTGTATTTTATTTACAGTAGGCAGCAGTTCTTGCATGGCTCCTTGTGTTAAGACAAGAGTAAAAAGTAAAGTATTGCATATTTTATTCAATAAAAAGGGTTATGTAGAACTAAGGTATAATAGTGGCTGACATACCGAAACATTTAAAGTCAGCAATCATTTTTGCCTAAATTAGGTACCCGCACACAGAAACAGACACACGATTTCAACATGAGCAGCATGCACCCCTACATGTTGTGCTGTTTGCCACCCTGATGTGTAAGCATACAAGCTTGCATGTACTACCACACACACACACACACACACACACACAAACACCTTTAGTCTCCGTCCCTAAGGTCCGCGTGCGCACACACTCCGTCACACACACATGCCCAATCCACAAGCCAATAACACCCTGCAAACTAATAAGCTTCCAGCAACCGACCCTCACCCCATAAACACACACACACTCATACACACACAGCGGGAACTCTTGCTACCCCCCACCATGCCTCCAGGTGTCTGGTCCAAATGTCAGCCCAGGGAAAAGGGCCCCTCCACTGGGGCAGCTGGTGAAGAAGCTCCCCCTACCCTCCCCAGCCTACTGGAGGCATGATTGCGCGACACACGCGCACACACACACACACACACACACACACACACACACACACACACACACACACACACACACACACACACACACACACACACACACACACACACACACACACACACACACACACACACACACACACCTCTAAATGGATGAAGTGGTAACAAAGAAAAAACTGCTTATGGACATTTTGTTTTTTGTACCTTCTTGCTTCATGTCCCAAAATTGGGAATGTGTTTAGCTAATTTACAAGTTGCAGACACACGCACACACATACATACACACACGCAAACCATGAATAAAGATTTGTGGTGATTATAACACCACTGGGAAATGAGACACACAGCAACTGTTTATGCAATAAACATCGGTTATAAGTGCTAATTTAACATTAGAGAGGAGAAAGGAGGGAGACGCAAGGAAAATGAAATGGGAAAGAAAAAGAATGAGAACAGGAGGACAGTCTGAGAGTTTAAATGTGGGGATGAAGAGGAGGACATTAATAAGTCGAGCAAAAGAGCAAAAGCTTTGATATATAATTATGTAAACCAAATACCAACTTATGTAACTAATTTAACTGGCATTCCTTTGGCATTTCCTGCACTGGCATTACTGTAAACCAGGTATAAAAGGTTGAAATATCTAAAATAGGCACAGCTTGATGGATTGAATATAAACTCAACTGAAGCTCGAAGCATAACAATTTCTGAAATGGTCTTGGTCTTTGTTCTACTACAATACAGCATGTACCTTTAGAAAAGAGCGCAGCAAATCAGCAATAATTTTATCTTGCACTTCTAAACTGACTTTTTTTCCCACACAAATAGCAGAGAGACCAGCATGTGTGAAGGTTAACAGGAAGACTAATAAGCACTGGCACAACTCAGATTATTTGTAACGGCCTGGTTCTGTCTCTAGAGAGCTGTGACACTAAAAGCAATTAGTTGGTCCTATCCATGACTCATATGAATTATCATAACAGCACTTTTATTCATTCGATTCCGTGTCAAACACCAGAACACAGGGCAAACGGTTGATGTACACAGTAAATGGCATAAAGGACATTTAGAGTCAAACAGCATCACTATTATAATCATTATCGTGTCCATCTGCTCTTATTGTTCCAGGTTCCATTCTCAGAGAGTAGGTGTATGTGTGCATGCGTGTGTGCGTGTGTGTGTGTGTGTGTGTGTGTGTGTGTGTGTGTGTGTGTGTGTGTGTGTGTGTGTGTGAATGCGTTTCACTCAGAGTTTCTGCTTGTTATTTGTGTGCGTCCATGTGTATCTCTGGATGTCTGTGTGCCTGCTCATGTATGTGCGTACATGTTTATGCTTGTGAGCACAACTTACCGGGTTTCAGGTTCCTCTCCTGCAGCACAGACAGCCACTTGGCCCCGGTACCAAAGATAGTGATGCTGGAGAAGAGGGAACAAAAATATACAAGAGGCAAGAAGAAAAAGACGGAAATTAATTTTTAAAGCATAGCAATATAGAGGATCAGTGAAGCATTCTTTTCCAACAATAAAAACGTCCAACATAATTCAACTTCCCCTAAGTGAAAGATGTTGCCCATTATTTTGGGGGCAAAAACAGAATTTGCGTCAGTGTTGCCAACAGTGACAGCCATTGCAAAAGCCCTCCTACGTAAAGTACATGTACTGTATTCTGCATTGTGACAGCATAAAATTTAAACAACAGAACCAAATTAGCAAACATTATGAATCATCTTCTGGGGCAGTATGAATATTGTTGCCAAATTTCATGGCAATCTGGCTGGTCTTTTTTTCTGGAGATATCTTGCTGAAGACCAAAGTGTTGGACAGATATTTGGATGGACAGATAGGCTGTCAAACTGTGACATCATGATCCTTTATCATAGTTTGTACTTGGAATTTGGATGGTTGTGTGGTGGAGGGAGCTCCAACAGCAATGAGAAGTGAGAGTGTTCTTAAGGCTTTATACAACTGTATAAATATGATTGGATGCTACTGTTCAGCTGGTAGCAAAGCAGCTGATAAAAGGGGTACTGATGGTGGAGCATGAATAAAGACTTCAGTGCTCAGCCTGTACTGAAAATGCTCAATTTATTGTCCAGAATTTATGCATGACAAGGCATAGTTTCGATGTCTGTGTGCTGAATGTAAAAATATATTTAAAAAAAAGAGCAACAGTTACTGAACAGCCTTTGCCCTTAATCCCATCTGCTCCAGTGGAGCTGCTCAGTAGCTTGGTTGTATTCGGAAGCTCCCGGGAGAGGAGAGTGTGTGACTGTGTAAATGTAAAGCAAGGTGATGCTGAAACAGAGCATGTGTGCTCGCTCAACCCTTTGTGGATAGATAAGAACAAAGCTGGGAAAAAAGAACTGATTGGGAATTGACTTTCAACTGAACAAATAAAAACTGAGTCAAACACAATAATGGTCAGTCTAGCATAAGAGGACAAAATGTCTCCTTCTCCACAAGGTAATAGTTCAGACGAGAATGTATTGACAGGATGTTTGCACACAACCACCTTCATATGAAATGACTTTGGAAGGTGGCTTTCTTCTGTGTGAATGGAAGTCACCCTGACAGCTGACAACAGTTGGACAACATGTGGAAGGCAAGAAGTGACAGAACGTCACTTCTGTGTTCCCCTGCAGTTTCAGTTTTAAAACAAAGGGCCTTTTAAAGTCTCTGTGAATGGGTGTGTTTGTCTCTTAGTCTGTGTCTTTCTGTCTTTTCAAGTTATTTTGGTTGGCATCAAATCAATCAAATGTCCTCATATCACTATGGTAACCATGCCTGTCAATCAAAAAAAAGATAAAAAGAGAATCTGTCTCTGGGACACAAAACAATTGTCTCGGAGGTTAAAAATCGATCAGCGGTAATAGAGGTTGTTGATGGGGTGAGGAACGGAGTGGGGAGGGGGGGTTAGGGGTAGATGGGGTGAAAGGGCAAAGGAGCCAAGAAGTAATTTCTCAGATGTAATAAAGTGATTCGTGCACAGGTCTAATGCATGTGATGCACCTCTTGTCCATGCTGCCTCTGCATACCTCGCCCTTTGTCCCCATTCCGACACCATTGTGTGTTTGAATTATAATATCATAGAATATGTCATTTGAAAACACAATCTTGTCTGACTGACTGTGTACATTTTTGAGAAAACCACCAAAAATCATAAAAAAAAAATACAACTGTGCCTTGAAACTGCACTGCTCATTGATTGATTGATATTCATAGGTATGTTTTCATTAGTTTATAGTCACATGAAAAAAAGGAATCGTTGTTTTTGTTACCTTATAATGAGACATTTTTATGTAAAGAGGGAGCAGGTTCTCCTCTTCAGATACACCTTGATTTAAGTAATAAGACTGTATATATATATATATATATATATATATATATATATGCTGTGTGTTTATATTTTGCATGGCTGGGTAGATATGGTATACCTGTTCTCCACATTCACTTATAGCCACCAGATACAGCACATGACACACACAGATTCAAACACAAAGACTCCATTTGTCATCTGCACTCACTCTCCTTTCTATCCATCATCTCTGACCCCCCATCCGCATCTGGATTTGGTCATTGCTGGCCACCAATGAAAAGGGTCACTCTGTTCTGATTGGACGCAGGTGGCCAGGTGTGGCTGCTAATTGGGTGTTTAGGATGGAGGATGCAGGAGAAGCTGTGAGTCTCCGTTTGTGTGCCTGCATGTGTAAATGTCCCTATGTGTCTGTTTCAAGGGAGACATGTTACTGGAAGCTACAGAGCCAATAAGAGACACTTGAAGCCAATCAGACAGAAGAGCTCCTCAGAGCAGTTATTACATTAATGTGTCTCTATGCATGCAGCAGTTGAAGTATCACTTGTCAGTGCATGTTTTCTAAAGTACTCTCACACTTGTCCCCCACCCCAGGAAGAATTGTAATATAAAATGGACCATTTCTCTCTTCTCTGGTGTCAGCAGCTACAAGGAACAGTTTGAAAGCACAGTTTGATGGTGTAATTGTTTTCACGATTTTCAAATATTAAGTGTGAAGCACTACATCATTTTTGAAAGTCTATAAATACCACATGTATTAGGGTACCCTGGTGTTATTGCCTTGTATACAAGAGGAATTGTTCAGTATGACAGACAGCCTCCATATCATGCGAACTGTATTTTTAGTGCCATTGTATCTAAAATTTAATTAATTTCCTATGAACCATGTTGCTTCCTCTCACACACGGGATTCTAAGACTCAGCTCCCCGGAATGCAATTGTTATCCCTCATGGGTTACTGAAAAGACACCCATGTTAAAAAAGATTTTTCCCATCAGCACTTCACTCTTTCTGTCATCTAGCATTGTGAAGCTCTTTCTATTTTGTGCCATAAAGCAGTCTCCTTTTGTGCTACAATCTAACCCGGTGGCAGACATTCAAAAAGGAAGAGTAGAAGCCAACATGTCTCAAAATAATTGTGACATTTTTTTTTTATATTTTTTAAAACAGTCAATCGATAAGCTGCATTTAGCACTCCAAAAACAAGTATGTGTGTTGTTCAGTTTGTGAATAAAAAACCCTTTGTGAAGGATTTGACTTGAGGCTTTATAGAGTTTACAGTTTATAACATTTAGGCACAGCTTGAAGAGAAGAGGATATTTTAAATTGTTATGCCCACGTGTCTAAAACTGTAACTCAGCTGGCAAGATGCAATCTGCTAAACTGTATCTGTAGCTATTTCCTCCAAAGAGGATAACTGAGAATTTTGCTTCGCACTGGCAAAAGAGAACATTACCATAGTTGGTACAAAATATAGGAGGAATCTTTTCTGACATATCAGCTCAACAAGTAACAGACAAAAGTTTGAGAGAAGTCCTGTGGAGTACATGGAACCTTTCACGAGTTAATGTTAGTAAGGAAACCTTTTGGCTGCTTTATCCAGGAATGCGGCTGTTGTCATTTCCACTACAGCCCTGGTGGGGCGTCTCAATAAATGTCTCTTTCTTAAATGACGCAGGCAGGGAAAGTTGTCAGAGCACTTAGAGGTTAGGATGCATGTATCACAGCTTCTGTCTATACTATATTTAGTGACAGTGACATCTGTGTTACTTATAAAACCATGAAGTATGACACTTTCTTTAGATATATATATATATATATATATTTTTTAACAGATTTTCTTCTGAGAAGGGTTTAGGCTCATTCCGTTAATCAAACAGAACAATAATAAAAGGTACTTCTTATATAAATGTATTTGATTCTTCTTGTTTGTGGAAATAAAACAATAACCTTTAAACTGGTTTTAGTTTAGTACTGGTGTCTCTATGAACAGCACATGTTCAGGTCCTTTGTTGAGTCACTGCCATGAATTCCTCTCTTAACAGAGCCAAAGACTGTCGAATATGACACTTAATAGTGGTGACTATTTTTGGGGGACACTCGGCATACACCGCGCTACATACGTTTATATTTTACTTTTAATATAAAATGTCATAAGGAATTTAAATGATTAAATACACCCCTGTCAAAGTGAGACGATCCTCCCTTCTGTACAAGATACAAGATTACCATTGTTGAATTTGAAATACAAACATCTGCAGCAGGTTGTTTCACCCAGTAACTGCTACAATTAAGTTGTACATGAAGAACTTCCACAATGGCTCACATTAGTTAGATAGCCTCTCTCAAGCAGATTCTCATTATGTGGTAAAGCACAGAAAACTACTGGCCTACTGAAAACAAACTAAAAATAAGTCTTCTGAGACTCTCACAAATACAGTCATCCCTCATCAACAATCCATTTCAGCAAATAGAGATTTTGTTGTGTCACTGCTTCACCATAATTGAAAATGCTATCTTTCAAAAAATATCTATAAAGACATTTAAAACTATAAATGTCAACAATTCAAAACAAATGTAGCAGCGCAATTCAACATCAAAGCAGTTACTACAATTCCATAACTAACTAACAAAATTCAAGGCAACGAGGAAAGCCTCAGTGTAAGTTTAAGACTCTCCAAGGCTCTGACAGATTTAGCCCCAATTAAAATGTCCAACCTCCATTCAGAAGATGAGGGTGTAAAATATTTCATGTCAGCCTCTCCCAGAGGGTTTTCCACATGGCGCTGGGGTCTGGAAAATGTGTCTGAGGTGGCAACATCAGCATTTAATTGGTTCAAAAACCTTCTCACAGTTTAAAAGGTTCTATCCGTCTTTCTGTCATACTGGCTGCCCTCCACTGAACTCTTTTATGTGGGTAATAAAAACAGTATTCTAACCTTGTTCATTTTATTTCTCCATTCATCATTTAAACTCTTTTTGGGCAAACAAGCAACGTGGTTAAAGACAAGAACATTCATCTCATCAAGAAGCCGCTACAAATCAAACAACACTGTAGATGTTAACCAAACATACAGCTTGAGAAACTCCACCAGATATTTTACCAGGGAAACACTCATCCTTTCAAGATCCAAATATATCTGATAATTCTAATGACTAGTAAAAAGGAGTTCATTAGCTTTGGGATCTACGAAAAGATAGTCTCTGCAGCAGAAGTACTTTTTCTTGGCACATTTGCTCTATAGCTTCAAACTACTCCCTATATGTGTCAAATCTTTCTCCCCATTACTCCCTTCCTCGCTGAAGGCAATATGCCATCTCTGCTGCACTGACAACGTGTCTGTGGTATCATTGCCTTAGAGGGTCTTACTTTTGCTGACCACAGTGTAATTCTTTTCATAATTTAACCACAGGTTGACTGAGAGTACTCAGTAACTCACCCCCAGGAGCTGTCTCATATGACACAATTTCCAACTGTTGGCTACAGTAGTAAGGTTGCTCAAGGCCACATCAGGTTTAGGGGTGAGAGAATTCCTTATGGAGGTTTCTCCACCTCTTTAATTAAACAATATTTGTAAAATGTCAAATTTGTTTGCAGATTACACAAATTTGTTTTGTTACAGTGACGTTTTTAACATATTTATGAACAATATACAATAAATGGATACATCTGTTGTATAATATTGCTTAGATAACTGTTATTGATTGAAACATGTTCAACTCATGTGGACGCAACCCTACATCAATATTGCACTGTTTAATAGCACCCAATTACATCTTTCCATCGACTTTGTATGGTTGAAGACTTGTTTTCTGTCTGAGCACAGTCAGTGTCTTCTCAATTGTACATATTTGCAATGAAATGTGTATATGATAATGAAGTTAGGTGTATATTTTGTGTGAAATGTTTTGGAAACATACCCTTAAATTAATGAAATTATTGAGGCTAAATAGAATATGACACAGGGGCTCCATTTTAAATAAATAATAAAAGAAAACAATTTGACTGTCTCAGAGCATAGCTCACACACTTGCATACCCTTTTCAGAAGTACACAGAAGTAAACAATGGAAAACAGGGAATATATACACACACTCACCATCTTCCTTGTTAAATGTGAACCAATTAAATGCTTGCCTGCCTGCACACATACACCCACACACTATTATCCTTGACCATTTCCTCTTTCTCCTTGCTGCCTTCACAAGACAATACAAGATCAATACCCGGTTTAGCTTCTGCTGTTTATGATGGTGACAGTGAAGTGGTGGTGATGGGAGAGGGTATCAGTACATTTACCAAGAAGATTTGCTGCAAATATCCTCTCTATGACTTTGGATGTGAACCTACGTTGATGGAATCAGATCCTTCATCTTCATATGTCAGAACAGTCTCTGGACTAGACAGTAAACTTAAGGTTTCAGCTGTACTGGCTGTCCTGTACTTTGACCCGTGATTTTGGGTTCATCCAAATATACAACATCACCATCAATCTCAATAACAACAGGCTTAAGGGTTGGCTGACCCTGCTGACTTAAAAGTAGCCTGTTCAGCTCAGTACAACTCATCAGTGCACAAGACAACAGCAAAGCAGCTCATTTGTGGTAATCAATATAGGAGTTTGGGGTGTCTTTGAGACCGATTTGTTATAAAGTTATGAGAGCCGTCAACTACAATGATGTTTTCTCCAGATCTCAATAAATTTCCAACGTACAGTAAAACTCTCATATAGCTTCCATTGTCCCTTTTTTTTTTTTTTTTTTTTTTTTTAGGCATAAACAAAAAATTGTTTGCTTATCTATGCTGTTAAAAAATGAGGCAAAATTAAAACAATCTCCATTACCACTCTATACTCCCCCCCCCGTTCCTTTGTGTTTTTGTCTCCTTTCTGCCAAAGCCATCCCTTTTGCCCCCTCTTCCCTTCTCTCCACTTATTTAAATAAGGATTCATAAACGAGTAAGTAAATAATAAATGTTTATTGTATAATCAGTTGCAGAGGGTCTCTGTCTTCGATACTAATTATAACCAGCAGAAATATTTATTCATGCCTCTGCTTGTGTGTGTGTGTGTGTGTGTGTGTGTGTGTGTGTGTGTGTAAGTTGTCAATTAGGTAAACACATTATCAGTTCTGTGGTTATAAACAAAATCTCTAAGGAAAGCCATACCCTTAGCTTACTTTCTTACTCTGTATATCCAACTCTTTCTTTTTCCTTTCTTTGTCTGGTTTTTGTTCTACACTCTCTGTCTATGCTCTTCATTCCCCAAAATATTATGCACCATTTGTGTTGAAAATGCAACAATAGCTGGGCTGCACTGCACTCAATTACGACTACAGTAGGTATTAACAAAAAATCTGTAGAGTAAATTGGTATTTCTGCCTTCTGGGATGAATTTAATCTTCAAAAAACATCAGGGCAAAAACATGCGTCTCTGAAGAAGCCTCAACACAAAAACATGATGATAGCTGAAGCTATTTCTGTTAGCATAGCCAATTGCAACAATGCAAGAGATTCTTTTGCCCATGAATCATCTTGCAACCTTGTGGAGGATACAGACCCCTTAAGATTGACAGCGGGTGTAATAGCAGTGACGTACTGTGGATTGTGTGCTTTCATGTTTCCCAGATATTGCATAGCCGACTATTGTCACTTATATATTAATACAAATGGTGAGAGAAACCTTTCATAACAGTATGTTTTCAAAGGGAAATTTTAATTTTGGGTTTAAAATAAAAATCATCAGCAAAACAATTCAGTCATTGTTTCTCCCTTTTGTCAGCCTCTCTTGTTCCTGTGTGTGTGGCTAACTCACCCCAGCTGGTCTGTCAGGTTCCACAGTACATTGGGCGTGGGCATTAGTGGTGAACCATCATATAAAACCACAGAGGCTCCCACTGCCAGAGCAGACACCAGCCAGTTCCACATCATCCAGCCGGTCTATGGACAGTGCGCACATGCACGCATACACACACGCATACACACACGCAAAAAAAAAAAAAAAAAAAAAAAAAAAAAAAAACACACACACACACACACACACACACACACACACACACAGAGAGAGAGAGACAGATACAAACACACAGACAGATACAAACACAGCGGTCAGTTTATCTGGTATAAACACTCCTTTCTCATCAACCTGGATAAATGGGTACCAAAATAGAGAACTCCTGCAGACTGTGAGTTATGCATCTGTGGTTCACATTATTGTGTTTCTCTTTTTACTGCTTGCTGAGCTACGGGCAATTGCCTGTAGAGCTGACATGAGAAACATGTAGTGTATGGGGCAATTTCAATTAGCGGTGAAATGATTAGTCAACTGACATAAAAGTAATCAACAATTCTGAAGCTCAGTTAGTCATTGAGGTCATTTATCAGGCACTATAATAATATGCACTGGGTCCAGCTTCTGAAATGTTGGTTTTCAGTTTGGACTATTGGTCAGATAAAAAAAAAAGACATTTGTTTGTAAAAAAAAACCAACTTATTAATAAATGAGGAAAATAATCTGTAGTTGCAGCAGAATTTCCCACAACTCATACAGTTACAGGTTGACTAAACCAATGTAAGCGCACCACTGCCTGAGAGAATAGATTTTTTAAATCAATAAAATAGGTCCCCATCTATTTGTTCCCAACGACATTCATGTGTCAGAAAGCCAAAACCACCCAAATTTGGACTAATAATGTGTAAACACATAATACACACCACACCATGCAAAATTTGCAGCTTTAATCACCACAAAATAATGTTTATCATTAAAAAAGGAGCTAGAATCTTCTAGGAATAACTAAACATTAAGCACAGCTCTGACCTTCAGCTCTCAGTGCTGCTCATTAGACAAGATCGGTTTGTGTGTGCGAATGTGTGTGTGAGTCTTTGTGACCAGGCTCATGATTAAACATACTCCACAATACTTAACATTCTACCCCTGCTGGTAACTGAGACGAGACAACAAGAGAATGGTGGAAAGTTCCCCTGGTCTTATTATTTTGGTAGCACGAGCATTCTTATTGTGAAAAGGTTGTGGACCTACCGTGGTGTAGTAAATGATGACATCACTGCTGGTCATATTTCCATGGAGAATGTGTTCTTTCAAGTGTTGAATGAGCGTGCCCTACAGACACAGATAGACATAGCAAGAGACAGAGAGATATTGAATTCTAAGGTTTTTGTTAATACATTCATTCAGGACATTGACATTTGTTGATTTTTACCTTTCTTGAAAATGCTGTAATTTAAATACTCTATCTTCAAATATATATATATATATATAAAATTATAAACTCAATTCTCAGTTGTGAAAAAAAGCCTCTGACACAGACTACTATTCACAGCACTTCTTTTGACAAAAAGGGCAATTTGTGTTAAGTGTGAATTCTCCCACCAACCCATCACAGTTGGATAGGTTATTATCACTGGTGGTGCGGATGAACTGTGTGAGTGTGTGTGTGTGGCTGTGTGTTTTAGTTTTGAGCCCATGTGTACGTTCCTGTTCGCACAAACAGGTGCTCCGTGTGTGTGTGTGTGTGTGCGTGTGCGTGTGCGTGTGCGTGTGTGTGTGTGCGTGCGCGTGCGTGCGTGCGTGCGTGCGTGCGTGCATGTAATCTTTGGCAGGACTCAGCTGCCATACCCGTCCTTCGGTGCATGCCATCTTGCTACTGACAGCATGTTAACAGAGCCGTAACAAAGCAGAAAGCACAACAGTGCTGGGGCTAATTGGTAGAGCCAGAGAGGACTGCCAGCGTCGCAATACGAAATGTTTTCACCAACGCATTACTGTCCAATTATCGGCAGCATGGGGAGAAGGTGGGGGCACAAAAGAAACAGACAGACAGAGAGGAAGACAATAAGAGAAAGAAAGAGAAGGGAGCTAAAGGAGAGAAGAAGTAAAGTAGGGTGAGAAAAAAGCCTAATGAGTCTGAAAATGAGTACTAAGTGGGGGAAAAAATTGCATGCAAGCTAAGGATAGAGAAGCTAATGTTAAAGAAGGTGGAACAGTAAAAGCAAAGAATAAACCAGAGAAAAGAAACAATATGCGTGTGTCAGAGAGGGAGAGAAAGGGAGAATGACAGTTATGTGAAAATGTGTAAATGCATTTGTTTGAGCTTGTAAGCCCATTTTGAATGTTGAGTGCCTCAGCCTTCAAAGTGCAGTGGTCCTTTTAAAATCATACATTCATCTGACACTCTCCCGCACTCGGATGTGCTATGCAGCAGGAAAAAATGTCATTCATATACTCTCTTGAGAGCGAATAACCTTTCTAAAATCTCCTTACGGAGGTTTGCTGCCATCTTGTGGTGGAAAATGTAATATAAACCCAAATTACATCATTAACACATTTTCATGTTTTAAAGGATTACATGATAAAACAGTGATAATATTCTTAATGTGTCGTGTGTGGACTGTATCTAGATCTCTTTGACAGCTGCAATATTAAAGATGGAGCCTCCATTAGCCTTTAGAATTTAGGAGCATATTTTCATCATCAAAAGCTCAGGTGAGCTACTAAATGGTCCTTGTGGTTAATGTTTTTAAACTGCCATTACCAGGATTAAGAATTAACTTTAAAACTTAGGTCTTAAGCCAGAATGAATAAGAACTCCTTAAAAGTTTGTAAAAAATTAAAATCTGACGTCACATTCGACAAACAGGAAAACTCTTATCTGCTGATCAAGATCATGTGATATGGCCCTAACCCTAACCCAATGCTCCAGAACAGCTAATAAATGGACCTTGTGGTGAGATTCTTTTCTCAACTTCAGAATTTAGGTATTACTGAACAGTTTCAACTGTTTTCTTCTCCTTCTTCTTTTCTTGTCTTTCTTACAAAGTACAAACAATAATGCAGGACCACCCATGGGTCAGTCAGTGGGATGCAGCACTCCTCCCATCATTTATAATATGATCAGCAGTGTGTGTAAGAAATACTGAGAGTGATGGTATATATGAATATGCCAATGTGTTTCTTACCCCAGCAGAGTGGACCATACATTTAGGAGCTCCTGTGGTGCCAGAAGAGTACATAATAAACAGAGGATGACTGAATGGAAGCTGCTCAAACTCCAGCTGAGGAAATTGGTCACCCTCACCACGCCCAGATGCTAAGAAATCATCTAAAAATACACTGCGGAGATTAAAAAAAAAAAAAAAAAAACAGAGAAAAACAAGTCAAAGAGGAAATTAAAGAAAAGATTTAGACAATATATGGGGAATAGAGTATATCTCTGACCTTCTCTCTGCCACACACAGTTCTAAGTTCTAAGTCTTAATACATCAGTGTGGTTGTATTGGCAGGCACGCACCTGTTAGGGATCTTGGAGAGGTCGGTCTCATGTTTGGAGCGAGCATAGGGAATCACCACTACTTTCTTCAGGTCAGGCAGACCTAGAGAGAGAGAGAGAGAGAAAGAGATGGGTGTTTCGTTTTCTTTCCTCAATCTATAAGCTAATGAGAAGCCAGGGCCTCAAAGATGCTTAGAAACTCTCTGAACACTCCTGTGGTAGCAGATGAAGAAATCCTTCTTCATACTTTACATCTATCCAGCATCTGTTATGCATTAATTCTTCCAACAGCTTAATTTTGAACACTTGTAAAACCCAGTGGAGCTATTCAATTCTTACCCTGAATATCTCTTTCTACTTGTTAGCAGAAATTCCTTCTAATTTTAACTGCAGGAAAGAGACCAAAACCTCTTTGACAACATAAAAAAAAAAACTTTAGCAAGTCTTACCACCCAGTAGCTGAAGAGGCCAAATGTATTTGTTGTTCTCTATAATGAATTGATAGTAATCTTGGAGTAAGAGCGGACACATAAAGGACCAGTGTGTAGGATTTAGTGGCAGCGAGAGGTGTAGTTGCAGATTACAGCCCCCACACCTCACCCTCTCATTCTAAGCGTGTAGGGGAAAGTACTCTATCTAGAGACGGCCTTTGGTTTGTCTGTTCTGGGCTAAACATGCCAGTTGAACATGGCAACCTCAGTAGAAGAGGACCCACTCCCACTGTAGATAAAAACGTTCAGTCTAAGGTAACAGAAACACAACAATTCTTATTTTCAGGTGATTATACACTAATGAAAACATGCCTATGAATATTATAATTCATCTCTGCCCATATCTGCACTGGGCCATTAAATTTTTTTAAAATGTATAGTTAGATATATTATGTGGGTTCCAACCTTTGACAACACTGATGAGTTTTTCCATGTGGTCATGTGTTTTGCCATTGTACACCACAGCAGCAACAGAGAAGATCAGTTTGGGCTGAATTTGAGAAAACCTGTCAAGGACACCCTGAGAAAAAATAGAAAGAGGGATGGTTTAACTGGAGGAAAGTGAAAAGTTCGAACAAATTATTAGAACCACAGAAAACCGTCAAGTCTGCAAAAACACTTGAATTTAAGTTATCCACAACTCTCATAAAAGTAAATCTAGAATGTTCATGTTTGATAGAAAATAATTATTAGCCTATTAGCAAAGAATGCAATGGCAGAGTAACAGTAAATTCAGAGGGAGGAGATGAGCTCAAGACAAAATGTCTGAGGAATTTCATGAGGTGTCTGCACAATATACCTTTATCTCTTACATCTGTACATTACTACCTAATTAAAGCATCAACTGTAAAAAAATATAGTCAAATAACTTCCTCCTAAGGTTGACAACATGTTTTGATTGTAAATGTAGTTCTCTCATCTGCCAGACGGGGCAGTAGCACACCAGAAATGGGAAGCAGAGACCGAGATGAGAGAGAGACTATTAAAAAGGGACAGAGTAGCTGTATGATGAAGTTAATTACACTCACACACACAAGCTCTCATTTTGCCTGACAGACCTAACTGCTCTGTATATATATGTTTGTTTGCATATGTTAGTCTTTTTTATCCACAATCATGAATCCACTATAAGAATTGATAAAAGAACATTGGCCCAGTATAACTGTACTGTATATGGAGGAAGATATGAGCTCTGACAGGATGAAAATAAAAATTGCCACTCTCACATGCTATGTCTAAACCAACAGATTAAGTAGGTTTGGTTTGGTTTATTTGTACTATTTGGCTCTCAAAGTACTGCATGGGAAACTGTTCCTATTATAAAATCTAAATACAACGAAACAATAAAGTGTTATGATACAGCAGCCAATATGGAACAAGAAAGTATCACTCAAACATATGCAGAAAGAAATACAAGCCAGAATCAGTACAGTGCAGTCCTTACATTGACTCCAAAGTCAACAGACGTGGAGCTCCAAATGGCTCCAATGCTGGCTGCTGCTAACATGGCCTCCACTGCATGGATACCATTGGGTAGGTAGCCTACATGGGAAGGAAGGAGGGAAAGAGGAGGAAATCATTGAGTTTAAGCAGCAGTCCGTAAGATTCCTTCAGTGTTCCCTAAGTATTATGATGGCTTTTGATAAACATACAGATCTACAGAAGAATAAAATATATATATTAACAAACTGACAACATGGCAGTGCACCAGCGTACCTACAATAGCACGTTTACAGACAAATACTTCTACTAGATTTTATTCTCAAAATGCCCAACAGCACAACATTTATATTCATAAATTACTTACGCAGCACTATTACCCCGACCACACATATGTGACAGGAACCTAGACTTTTCTATAGTTTGTTAGATTTTCAGTTTCTCTTCAGTTTACCGCTAGCAGTAAAATGAGACTAATTGGATTTGTTATGTAGTCTCTGTCTTACAACTGCAGAATACCACACATTAAGTCCTCTCACTGAAAGAACAGTGGAAAAAGACACATAGATAAGATAGAGAAGGGACGAGGCAGAACGATACTGAGCAAAAACAAATGGGATGAAAGGAGACGAGAGAAATGAGAATGTAAAAAGAGAGGGGGGAGAGAGAGGGAGGGAGAGATGTGATGAATATTAACCAGAGCAGTGAGAATATTTCATTCTTAACAAGCGGAGCTGAGATTATAAGTGCTGTCTTGCTGTAATATATTCCTTGATCAATATAGTAAATGGTGTCCAAGGACACTACCCCTCTTCTCACTGGACAGACTCAGACAACCAGCAATAGGGAGAACGACAGAGAGAGATATGTAGAATACCAAACTGGGATGCACAATATTTAAACTTGTGCCATTAACTGCCTTTCACTCCCATGTTAATTTCAGATCATTTTAACCTCACTGCAAAACTATTACATCTCTAGTGTTAGATGTATTTATTATACACTTCATGAGATGCCAGGCGTCAATGCAATGACACATGACATGAAGTAAGTCCAAGCTCCACACAGGAGCTTTAAACTACCTTTAAACCCAGGGCTGATAACATGTATCTAATCTAACGTGATAAAACGATAATAAAACAGCCAGTAGTTCCAGCCAAGCAATCTGACTGCTCAAAGGCAACCATACTGTCACTTCGTATAAACTGTGACTAATCACAGATTTAGCGGTTACTATGCGGACTTCTGCTGTAACCAGGAAGCTGATCCCGGATTGATGACACCTCAGGCTGACAGATCACCATGCTGCTACACTGGCTCTACAGACACTCTCATGAAATATTAACCCTCTTACACCGAACCAGGACAAATGGCGTCATGGATCATAATCTTACGACAACACCTTGCTTGACTGCCTCTGTGGCTACTCTTATGAATCTGTTTATGTTGTAGCAACACTGCTTCCACATTAAAGCAGCACACTGCTGTTCCTATCTGTTTATTCATCTATAAAACGTTTTAGGTCTACGTGCATGTTGTTAACCACTGAATGAAAGCCAACTTGGCCTCCAGCAAGTAAATGGGTACTTGCACCACTTCATATTAAAATTAAAATTAGTGTCACGTGAATCTTCCCTGGACAACTTCTGTTAACGTCCCCTGGAAGAAGGCTCTGAATCTGTGTACAAAGGCTTTTTAAAAAAGGGTGGAAGTCCAAGCAAATTAAAACACGTAAAACAAATTCTAGCACTGCAGGGGGAAACTCTGTGGAGTCAGGTTGGTTTGTCGACACTGCAAGACTTAAGTGGAGATGAGATTTAACATGTGTCTTAACCAGAGTTAAACCACGTTGACCTCACTGGTGCAATGTTGTGGAGCTAACATGGCTACCACTGAAAACAGCCAAGTTCAGAGCTGTTCAAGTATAACATGTTGGATAGTTGTTGTTCAGAGATGTGATTTCTATATTCTATATATGTATTTGATTGGCAGATATTATTTAACATTTTAAAGCTGCTACATTTTTGTTTTATACTATTGACTCAACATTCAGATTACTCAACACTAAAAGACTGTGATTGCACAATGTATGTTTTTAATGACACATAATTAAAAGAATAAGCATTTCCCAGTGGATGAACAGTGGGCGTGAGGGCTTGATACAAGCTCCCTAACAGGGTGGAGGGTGAATTTGTGGGTGACAGGACCAAGGAGAAGAGCAACGGAACTAAAAGGTTCATGAAAAGGAGAATACATACGTGTGTGCGTGTGTGCGTGTGTGTGCGTGCGTGTGTGCGTGTGTGTGTGTGTGTGCATGCTATAAAGCTTGGTTGGTTTCATCAGCTAAGTGGTTATATATCTCCTGGATTACAGACACTGACAAGACATTTTAGTTACAACTTGGGGACAAGGACATCCACACACATAAGTGAGCAAACATATTCAAACACACACACACACACACACACAGATTTGTGTTAGATATCTGAGGAAAGTAATGGAAAGAAGAGATAAAGGAGGCATGAAGTTGTTTCTCTCTCTCTCTCTCTCTCTCTCTCTCTGTGTTTTTCTAGCTGCCTCTCCCTTTCTGCCCACCCTTCTATCCCTCCCATCTTTCTAATGAGATTCCCACAAAGCTTAAGTCATTTAGCTAATGGAATTCCCTACCGCAATCCATCTCTTCTCTGAGCACACACACTTACATACACTCCCTGGTCATTCCTGGACAGAGCAGCTCAGTTTGAGCTCATGAACAGCAGCCATAGACATTAGCCACTTTGCTGCTTCAAAATAAAAGCAGGGAAATCTTTGAACATATGTGGGAATTTAGGCTGCTTGATTTTAAGCACTCGACGCACATTGGAATTTTCCGACGCACGTCCTTAAATTAGGGAATGAATTTGCGCTCAGGGGGCGGTTCAGCGAAAAGAGGAGGCGTGTTCCGGCGCAAACGTTCCCTGGTGCTATTTTGCTGTTTCAGAAAACAATTCCGCAACAGACCAGGAAAAACCTAGTCTAAAGTCAGTGGCGCTTATTCAGATGCTATTTTAAGGGGCAGACTTGAGGGGATGCGCCTGAGAGGCAGCAGCAACATGGCCACCCGGTCAAGACGGGCATTAATACTTTGCCGCATCCCGGACAGCTCCTGGCGTGGGCCTGGCAAATCCGCCGTTATAATAGCAATCCGCCATGGAACAAGCGCGCCTGCTTTTAAGGGAATGTGAGATGACGCTCTGATTGGTTTATTGCACGTTACGCCCAAAGATTTGCGCCAGGTGCAAGAGTCATTTATCCCGCTGGCATAATAGCAACAGCGCCCGAGATCCGCCCACAAAGCTACTTGCGTTTTGCATTTGATACTTGCGTTTCAGATCGGCAAGATAGGGCCCTTTGAGTCAAAGAGTCAAAGCTCTTGTAGTTAAGGACAACCCAGATGTCCCATCAGTTTTCTCTTGCACATTAATTAAATCATTAAAATACACACACACACACACACACACAGACACACACACACCAAACATTTTTTGTTACCTCTGAACTATTGAACTTGTTCTCTGTCATCTTTACTTTTTACAAAAAGGTTTGCCACAAAAACATGTGTAAACATGTTCAATCCACCACAAACAGAAGATGTCTGAGAGAAAGAAAGGTACTATTTGACAACCCATGTGTAACTGAAGCCCTGGAGCCACTGGCACAGCACAAACAGCTCAATACACATTGCTGTGTCACTGCTGGAAATATGGCACAGAGAATGAAACAGACAGTGATAGATAAGATTCAGTGAAGTCAGACATTTGTCTGTTTTAAGAAACTGTGTGAGAGATATTGTTATTACATTATGTTATATTATATTCAGCTATTACACATGCCCATATAAAAAAATTGCTTACTCTACAACAGTAGAGTAACACAGGCATCCATTTTGAGATCCAAAAGCCTGATAATGCCACCAAACGTATTTGTTTTCTTTCTTCAAGGAGTCTGGTCAACAAAGGCTTTAGTTGAGAAGGCTTAAATGCTAAAGTAACTAAACTCCAGATAGCTGAGCAGGTCTGACAGCTCAATATGCATTATGTGACAAAAAAAACTACAACAGTGACCAAGATAAGGGCATTTGACCCTTAAAATTGTTTTCAAATGGCATGCACTGAAGCTCCAGTTGCTCCAATGGTGCTCCTCAGTGGCAGTTTATACTGTTTAGTTTGCAGGTATTCATGTGTAGATCTAAATGAATGTGCTGCACAGTGGGGTATTGCAGAAAAACATGCCTCCTCAGGCATTCCTCCCTGTACAAATATGAACCTTGAAAAAGTAAATGGTGACTTTCAGAAAGAGCTGTAACTTGTGCCAAGACAGCCAGCTCTCCTTACCAGTGAGCACAAAACACACAGAGCTATGGCAAAAGAGCCCATGTCCAACTCATGCTGCAACAGATTTTAAATAAGAAAGAAGGAAGCAGTGAGAGGGAAGGAGAGGATGAAGAAGTCAGGAGGAGAGCAATGAACCTATCTACCAATGAATTTGTATAAAACGCTAGTGCCACTCTTACATATTCTCATTCTCTCCGTGAGACAGAGAGATAAACGTGAGACTTACCTACGACCCTGTCTCCAGTCTGGACGCCCATCTTCCTCATGGCTGCAGCAAACAACGCCACGTCGCTCCTCAGCTCCCCAAACGTCACCTTCACAATCTCATCATTTGCCTCCGCTGGTGGACAGAGAGACAAGGAAAAACAAAAAATAAGAGATAAATATGTACAAAAAATGATTCTTGAAATGAAGGACACCTGGATATAGTGTGAGTGTGTACCACTTTGTTAATGTTGGTTTAACTTATGGGTTGACATTAATTCCAGTAAAACCTGTGACATTCAAATCCATGAAAAAGGAAAACGGAGACAGAGGTGAAGACATAAATAGAGATGGATAGTGTGGCAGAACAGAACCACAGACAGGAACAGTCTTCTTGTCTCTAAGTAATAGTTTACTGACATTCACAGAGGCTCCACAGCATCATGACCAATGGGCTTTCTCATAATTACGTTACAGTTCCTGGGCAAGGCTGTGTGTGTGTGTGTGTGTGTGTGTGTGTGTGTGTGTGTGTGTGTGTGTGTGTGTGTGTGTGTGTGTACATGAGTGTGCAAAAGCCAATTCGCCCTCATACACACACAGATAGGACAATAAGAAAGGGCCTATCCATTAGTGTGTGACAGTCCTGAGAGATAGAGCAGGGAGCAGCAGTTAATCTAATAACAAAGTGATGCGTGCAGCTCCGTTCTTTCAGGTCTTCCAGACTTTCTATCTGCTTAGTTAATTTGCAAATACAAATTGTGAAGCTGAAACAAAACAGAGAGTAAACACAATCTGTGCGACTCAGGAGAAAAAAAAACCCAATCTGTAACACACACAGGTGAACTGGGAGGGAGGAACTGCAGCTTGTTAAAATTCACCATAGGGAGAACTGCAACAACATCAGAATGCACAACAGCAAACAAAATTAAATAGCATTGATACTGAAGTGACCCTGCATGATTTGAGTGTGTAAATGTTTGTTTTATTGGGGAGAATAAAACCGAAAATGAGTGCTGTGTATGTGTGTATTAACATGCACGCTGCATGCTTTCTGCATTGGATTGCAGTATTAGGGATTTGATTCCTACTGGGGATAAATAAAGCCAACATTCAAGGTGCAGCACTGTGTCACATACTGTAAACTGCTGAATATTACATATCTTTTAATCAGCACCATATACTTGATATACTTACTTGCAGCGTAGAGAGCGACTTTGTCCTGGTCTGCATGTTTAAGCAGGTTCTCAGCGTAGTTGAGCCGAGCTCCTTTAAACCACTCTGGAACATCTGAGATCTGTTTGGATACATCCACAACCTGGTGCGCACACACACACACACACACACACACACACACACACACACACACACACACACACACACACACACACACACACGAGAGATTGTGACTGACAGAGACCATACATTTCAAAGCTTTGGTTCTCTTGCTGACACAGAATTAGGTCTTATCCTCAATATGTTTCTTTCTCATTAAGTAGACTTAAACTATATTGCTATAGACAAAGTGGTCAGAATACAAAACTACAATAAAAAAAGTTAAATGGAATACAAAAAATAAAATCTCTGCACTGACAACAGCCCTCACAGGACACAAATGGGACTGTGAGATAGAATAACTTAAAACTGAAAGCCACTGTTTAGACACTAATCTGGCATATGCCTCTAGCACTGTAACAGCTGATTGTGTTACTGTGCTTGAAAAAAACCGCCCACTGTGCATCACTATTACAAAATGTTTGATTGACTGGTTTATTGTCTCCCTGTCTTCCATCTAATCTCTGCTGGGACTGCAACGCTACCTGAGGATTAGGTGGGTAAGAAAATGTATGATTAAAAAAAGAACATGTGGCCAGTGTGACGTGGAATGTGTTATCCGTGTGTACAAAAGGGGTGTGTTTACAACGTGGCACAGCGCCTTAAGCTCAGACACTATTTATTACCGCACACGCTCACCTAAGTGGCTATATCCTGGTACCAAGCAACATTAAGAGGCAAGGCAATAATTAAATCATTAACACACAAATAAAGATAATTCACTGAAACCTCCTTTTGCAAACTGTCTGTTCAATGTAACCTTGATAAAAATGGGGCCAAATTTAATGTCAACAAATTAGCTTAAATTTGATTATAAATGCCGTTTTATGCTTTACAGTCTTTGAATTTCAGACTGAGTGGAAAACTGTATCAGCAAAAAAGTGTGCAAAGTGTACATTTTAGCTACAGATTTGTGCTTTCTAGCAGCCACTGTGACGAGTATCATCAATTGGATATTTTCATTTATTCCAAAATGGAAAGGTTAAACAATTGAGGAATTAAGTATGTATCTGCTCATGTAGGATGAATCATATCAGATTACTGCCTTTCCATCGAAAATAATGACTAAAGAAGACTGTTCGCCAACTCATAGCACAACAGTAAAGTTTTTCAGTCATATTCACACTTCAAACATTCAGGAAACAATGGGCCTCGTTCACCAGTTTTTGTTTTTATCTTAAATCTCTGCTTGTGAGAGGATGAGAAAATAGAGGAGGTCTGATGTAAAATTAGAAACCAAAAAAATGTGTTGGCTGTCAGGTCATAGGAGCAGTACAACGACACATAACAGTACGACCCTTCGAGACGCTGCAGAGAGACTGCCAGCTCTTGAGAACCCCTCGTTTCACGTAGCTCAAGGATGGATATGTTGCAAGTTTTGATATCCGTGTTGCAAATCATGCAAATCAAGTGTGCCAAAAATAGTGAAATATTCTATTCCACGTGCCATCATCAAATCAACATATAATTTGCATATGAACAAACCCTTGGTGGAAATGTGATAAAACAAACACAGTTAATAATTACATTTTATGGCCACACAGGGAACAATTTTACACTGTTACACAAGTGGGTTGTGTATGTTTGAGGAATGATATTAAAGGTTAATTTACTACCATATAATGTATTCTAATGCATAGAAGACAGCAGATTGACAAAGCTGACAATTGCCACCATTAAAAAGAAGAAAACTCCTTCAGGCGAAAAACTGGTCATTCATTAAATCGTTGAGGAGAGCTTTTCTACTTTCAAAATCCAGTTTTAAGAACTGGATTTTGTTTTCATTTTTCACCGTCAGATGACAATGTGGACTCACCTCTTCATACGGTTTAGAGCTGACTACTCCACTGAAGCGCCACACCTCCCCCCAGAACTCTGAGTAGCTGTCCACCGACCACTGGTACAAATCATTGTAGTTGGCTAGAGGAAGAGATTCATAACAGAAATATTAACTTACTGGTGTTACTATCAGCTCAAACATAGATTGTAAAGCGTCTACAGTTGAATAAATACAAGAAAAGATCAGACATTAGTACCACTGAGGCAAAATAAGGCTGATTACTTGTAAAGCCATGGGTTAAAATCAGCCCCTCCAGGCCTGTTGTGTTCCACTGATAACCATAAAACAAACCATAAGCCAAAGAAAATTCCTACAAAGTGAATCTCAGTTAAATTCAGTGGGTAAAGTTTGGTTTCTGCATCAGTCTTGACACACAATTTACAGCAGTGGTTCCCAGTTTTTTTGGCTTCTGGCTTTTTATATCTAAGTAAAGCCAACTCCCAATCAGAAATCAGCTTGCATGTGTCTGTGAGCTTAGACGATCAGCCAAAGACCCTTCCCTTATTAGGTTGTTTCAACATGCATACCTTTTATGTGCAATTCAATTTAAAAACACATTTGTTCAACACCACCATGTTTTATTTTACATTTCACACACATCTACACTCAGGCTACTGTCTCTCCTCCCCAATTACGTAACCTCTCTCTCTCTCTCTCTCTCTCTCTCTCTCTCTCTCTCTCTGTTCAACACCCGGCAGACCAAGTTCTTCAGCATTCCTCCACAACCCTGTTGGACCAATTGACACAGTAGCACAGAGACAATTGAAACAGGCCGCTCTCTTTCATCGCCTGGCAGCTCTGCAGGCACACAGCCTTTTGGTTAGGAGCTGGGACTAATCTAAACAGGAGAGCATTGCAGAGCTGCGGTGTTACAAACAGGTACTTCTTATCAGACAGGGAGCGGCGAGCATCTTTATTAACATTCTCTGTAGGCTAACTCAAACCTGCAGGGATGTGTTTTATGCTGATTCACTGTCTCTTCTGTACCACCTTTAAAAATGCCAAATGGCTGCACACCAAAGCTAACGTTAGCTTGAAACACCGCACTGCAAAGCAGCTTTAGACAAGACAGTGGCAATTTAGAGGCAATAAGCTGTCTGTCAGGTAGTTACACAACGTATACGGACAGACAGCAGGACGGTACATTGTTTCTGTGTTTTTTTTATTTAGCTCACACATCCAGCGTCGTAGGCTCAATAAAATGCCGACCCTTTCTCTCTGCCTGTGTCTCATTGTCAGTCTTCCTCCCTCCTCTCTACTCACCCAGATTAAGTCCGTAGTCCCCGTTGACCTGTATCCTGAACTTGTCCATCTGTGTGTTCCTCTTGGAGTCCGGGTACCACAACACCTTGCTCTCCATGTCCATAATTTTCTCGCTCTTCCCTTCCGTGTCCTTAGACATCTTTGTCGCGTCTCTTTCTGTCGGCTGCCAAACACCGGTGAGCGCGAGTCCCGAGCGCCTTGCTGAAGCTAACTGTCCCTAAAGGTGAGGGCTCGTGCTGAATTAGATCACCGGCTACCTACTTAGTTTGAATGGCTCGAGACTTACAGCGCACGACAGCTAGCGAGGCTCACTGTCAAAGACAAGCGTGGGGCCGCCGAGGAAACCTGACAGACCACGCCCCGGCGTCATGACGTTGCGGATCGTGCTGGGTTCAAGAACTCTTAGCGGTTCAATGCTGTTCTATACAGTATTACGCCATGTGTAAAACCGTATGTATACTGGCAATGGTGTAAAACGGATCACTGAAAACAAAAGTCTTCTTTAAAAGGGGGCAGAGAGCATATTAATCATTATAATGATGTTAAAGGATCTATGGGAAACTCTTCAGTGTATAAATACAATACACTTATCAATATTTCAACCCCTAATTTTACTTTTAAATGTGAGATTAAGTGAATATTAGGTCAATCAAATGAGTTTGATTAAATGAGACCATTGGTATGTAAAAGTGTGTGCCCCCTACCAATATATTATTATAATACTTTCAGTATATTTTGTTAATAATACTTCTGTATTTCTGCTTCAGAATCATTTAAGTTGCGGATTGGAGCTTTGCTACATTGTGGCATTGCTCAGGAGAGGGTCGAAATACCTCTTACACCACTGTAGTTTCATAATTTCACATTTCCACTGTTTCAAACTAAATATGAGATACCCATCATATGAAAAGAAATACCAACTAAAACTATTATGCCAAAAGAATTACTAGAATGAATGTAAAATGTAACATAAATAACATTTCTCGAATGGATGCAAAAGCACAGCAACATTTTCCTGCCAATCCTGAAGTAGTATACCTCTTGCCAACTGAGATGCATGTATTTCTTTTAATAAAAACATTTCATGGATTTTTTAAACAACACACAAAGACTTTACAGGATGCAACTGTAGAAGTCTTGAACATACCCGCACGTGAACGCGCTATAGAATAGAGTCTAGTCTAGTCTCTCGTGCACGCGGGAAACTTGCCTGTCAAAATGAAGGATTTTCATTGGTCCTCAGCACACTGGTTCCACATCAGCCGACAGATCGGTCTATGGAGGAGGCGTACCTCCACCGTTGGACGGGCGTGTCGGTTGAGCAATGGTGAGGCGCGTTTGGCTCTTCAAAGCAGGCAAAGGGACCAATCAAACAGCGACAATGTAGGAGCATTTTAGGGGTGTGCCCAATCAGTGAGAGGGAAGAACGACCCTCCTCACGACCTGGCAGTGGTGTCATCTTAAATTTGATTTAATGATGGAAGAAATATGTTACAGTTTAGCCGTTTCTTCTCTACCAATCACTGTGTGCCCATAATTGGTTTATCCTTATGATCATTTCACAATAATGATCCATCACATTTATTTTTGGACACTTTTTTATTATAACCTGATGCTGTTACAATTTGTAAAAAATTTACCCTTTGTCCACATTTATTAACCAACTCCAAATGGAAATATAATCCATCTTCATTAACCATCAACCTAATTTCCCTTTGTCATGTAAACTGCACTGAATGGGCTTTCCTGCTTCGTGACCTAGTTTATTGTCATTTGGCTGCATTACTGTACTGGCACAGAAGGTACAATAAAGAAAGAGATTGACTGAGCTAACCAAAATGTTGTAACCTGTATAAGGATTTTTTTTTATTTTGTAATGTGGTATCAGCATAAAAGCTGCCTAGGACCCAGAGTTCAGATTGCAAAAATGGAGGCCTTATTTCTCAAACCAAACCCTTCTACCCTGAAATCCAAGCAAATATGTGGGCCTGATACACACTGGGAAATCACATAAGGAACACTGAGTAATCACACTGTCTTCTGATTTGCAGAGTTGCTCTCAGCCACATATGTTTTGACCAGGCCTTTATCAAAGGGGATGTGGAAGGACCTTGATAAAAGAATTAGCCAAAACATGCAGCACATGATACCACTATTTGGGTGCGTTTGTTAATATTTCCAGGATGTTATAGCTATCAAACATATAGCTGAGTAAAATCTGGCATGGTTGAAGCATGGAGAATATTTTGAAAGGTTTACATTAATATTCATATGATGAAAATAGGGGAAGCAGCTAGTATTGCTGATGGGCTCCCAGCTTACACAAAAGCTGGCACAGCCACAGTGTACATTTTGTGGAACTTCAGAATACATGATGCATCTTTACACAAACAGGTTCAACATCCCTTTTCTTTAAATCTCAATACATTTTGAGAAGGAAAAGGTGTATATTAACAGTGCTGATTCTGCTTTACAACGTATAAGTTCATTTAATGCTCTACGTAGGTTTTATGGTTTTTCATTTTTAAATGTCATCTCTTCAATCATTGAGGTTCTACCAACACAAAAATACAAAATATGCATTTTTTTAAAAAAAAAAAACACTCACCAGAGACTAAAACAGTCTAACAAGAAAAAATATCGATTTGATTTATTTTGTTCAGATTTTAAGTTTTAAATCCCTCTTTGGCAAATTTGTGATGGTAAAAGTAATTTGATTTGACTTTATGTGTTTCATAGGTTAGTCCTTAGGATTGTTTTCACTCACCATGAATTATTTGTGATTTTTTCTCCTTCTGTGCCTTCTTGAAAAAGATTGCAAACACCTGGCATTTAGATAACGGTGTATAATTCTGTTAATCTTTCTTTTGATGACTCTTTGACTGACTGTATCCTGTACATGTTCATTGAGATAAACCTTTTTTGTGGCTGATTCTGACTGACATTGAAGTTGACCTTAAATGGACCCTGGCATCAAGTGCACAAGAGTCTGTTTTATCTGTTTAACCTGGCTCTGCCTCTACATGTGCTCATATCTCCTGCAGGAGATAGCCAAAATTCACATTTTGTAACAAACAGCAGCTACATCTTTTAATTTTGTTTCATTGCAGAATTCTCTCCCATTGACTGCCCGTTTGGATGCTATGATATAAAATGTGTAACTGACACACATGCATACTGTAACAGATGACAGTATGCATGTGCATGCATATGAAACGTATGTTACATTTTGCAAAACATTTAGCTGACTTATCCAGAACAACCTACAATGAACCAGTCTATCAAACATAGTCAAGTTTAATAATAACATCAACTTCAATAAGTGCTTTTGTAGCCTGACAGATAAAATGCAGCATAAGTATGTCAAATAAAGAACAAGTAATACATATTTCGTATTGATTTAAACAATAACTTACAGAAAGACATACATTTGCTTTCTCTGGATCTCAGATTGACCCACAGTGAACCTATATCTTTTGCAATTAATCTCCTGGTGTCAGGCTGATTATTCCTTTGTCATTATCCTTTTTTAGCTTTGGCTAAATTATGTAATCAAAAGTCACTTTGGGACATACTTTCAAATGGGTTTAGTTGCATCATCAGTGACATCAGTGACAGTGGTCAGGTGAGGTGCTTGCGCAGATTGATATTCATATGATTAAAAAATAGGGGAAGCAGCTTTGCTCATGGGCTCCCTGCTTACCACAAAAGCTGGCACAGCCACCAAATATTGTGGAACATGATGCATCTTTAAACATTCTTTGGCCACAACATCCTTTTCCTGTAAATCTCAACATATTCTGAGAAGTGAGTGATGTAAACTATTTGACAGAACACAAATACAAATACAGAATATACATATACATTTTTTAAATAAACTTTTAAAAATACTGTCACAAGACAAAAAGTCACAAAACAAGAAATAATATCTTAAAAATACATTTTATTTTCTTGTATGCCTTCTTTAAAAGATTTCAACACCTGGCATTTAGATAATAGTGTATGATTCTGTAAATCTAGCTTTTTAAGACTGTATTCTGTAACATGCTCATTAAGGCGTTTGGTGGTTTAATTAAATGATTCTGATTGACCCTGAAGTTTACCTGAAATGGACCCTGGCATCACTCCACAAGTGCCTGTTTTATCTGTTTATCCTGGCTCTGCCTCCACATAAGCTCATATATCCTGTGGTCCAGCCAAAATTGTTGTTTCATCGTGGAATTCTTTCCCAATGACTGCTCTTTGGATCCTGTGATGTAAAATGTGTAACTGACACGCATACTGTCACACCTATGTTACATTTTTGAAAACCATTTAGCTGACAGTCTTATCCAGAACAACCTACAGTGAACCTTACAGGAAAAACTCAGTGCTCAGTCAACCAAGTATATATTGAAGTGCCAAGGAATTCTGCAGTGTGATTTATGTTGCAGGTGCCATGTCAAATGAAGGTCAAGGACTACTACTTGTATTTCTGAAGGATTTAACCACTAACTTACAGACAGATTCCTGTTTGCTTTCTCTACCTGAATCAGGTGCTTTCTCTGGATCTCAGATTAACCCACAGTTGACCTCTTCAGTGTCAGGTCAAATAGTCTGCCAACTTTGCCATGCTCCCTTTTAAAGTTTTGGCCAAGTTATGCAATCTAAAGTGGCTTGTGACATGATGGCACAACTAGTCTTTCTGAGTTGAGCACTATAACATTTATGTAAGTCTATGGTGGTAAAAGTATTGAGACTTTAATGATTTATTGTTCTATTTTTCATTAGCACACACAGTGAGATTCAAGAGGTTTATTATCATATGTACAGTATAAACACAAGGCTAGTATGCACAATGAAAATCTTACTTTGCCCGACTCCCTGAGTTAACACACAAGTAGAACAGTAAGAACATAATAATTAAAAGAATATAAAAATGTTCTATATAAAAATGTTCAATATAAAACATAACTAAAATATAACTTACAATTTAAAACTTAAAGTGCAGAACATTTGTACTGTAGACAAAGAGGGTTATGTGCTGATTTTTGTGTCAGTAGAAACTGAATCTGAATTGCTCAACTTGAATAATTGCATTGAAAAACTGAATCTGAATAGCATAATTTTAATTTGAATTTATTAGTTTGAAACTGAATTTGAGCCTCACTAAAAATTCAACTCTTTATGTACTTTCAAATTCAGATCTCTAAATTCAAATTCCGCTGCAGAGATTAATTGTGCAGTTTTTATTACATGCTGGAGAGCCATCCTGTCCTGAGCAGTGCAGCTGCCATGCCACACTGTAACTGAACTGGTGATGATGCTTTCGATTGTACATCTATAGAAGTTGCTGAGGATCTTGGTTGCCATGCCGAATTCCCTCAGCCTTCTTAGGACGTATAGTCTCTGCTGGGCTTTCTTCAGGAGATGGTGGGTGTGGTGAGACCAGGTGAGGTCCTCGCTAATGTGGGTTCCGAGGAATTTAAAGGTTTTCACCTGCTCTACCTCTGTCTCACCGATGTACAGTGGGGTGTGCTGTTCCCTCCTCCCCCTCCTAGGATCAATAATCATCTCCTTTGTCTTGGTTGTGTTCAAGGAGAGATTATTTTCCTACCACCTCTCTTCTGTATGCCGTCTCCTCCCCACCACTGATCAGTCCCATGACCGTAGTGTCATCTGCAAACTTTATCATGCAGGTGTTGGTCTGGGAGGACACACAGTCGTAGGTAAACAGGGTGTAGAGCAACGGACTTAGCACGCAGGCCTGGGGGGTCCCTGTGCTCACAGCTCTGATGCCGGATGTCCGGTTTCCAACTCTGACTGACTGGGGTCTGTCTGTGAGGAGGTTCAGCACCCAGTTACAGAGGGAGGGTTCAGTTCAAGGGTGGTCAACATTATTAGTACTCATATTAGTATTTATTCATTACACTGCTGTTATACATATTTTTACACACTTATTCTTATTCACTGTACTTTTTCTGTGTATATATATATATATACACTGTAATATAATGCAGTATTAGTATTATTTCTATTTCTTATAATTTCTTTGTTTATCAACTTGAGCGATGTACTGAACCAATTAACTTACATTACAATTTAACATTTGCATTCCTTCTCAGTTTATCAGGTGTTCAAACTGCTATTTATTTGTGTGGTGTGTGTGTGTGTGTGTGTGTGTGTGTGTGTGTGTGTGTGTGTGCGTGCGTGCATGTGCGTGTGTGTGTGTATATACTCTCTAAACATAGTCTCCTATCCCTTTCTGTGAATGGTATCATTGAGTACTGCATAGTTTATTCTATTCTATCATTTCTGTGTTTAAATACCCCTCAGATTAAGTTTACAGTTTAAAGGAGAGCAAACTAAGAATATGAGTTTTTTAAAATATTTATTTTTTCAATAGGAACAGAGCTCTAAAATGATCTTTATGAGCTAATTTTAGATGTGGAAAGAAAATTTGTTTTTCTATTGTATATAAAATAAGCAAGTTGGTACGCCACTGTGTGTGGAGCAGGGCCCATAAATCAAACACATTAACACATTTGTCCAGTAGATGGCGTACTAATACATGATATTGTGTACTACAAGAATATTATCCTTACCTGTGTAAATCTGTAGGTAAGATTTTAGTTTACAGCTCTTTTTGTCTTTAATTTGAAGAAACAGTATTTGTTGAAATTAAAATGTACTTCTTAATTGCTTTAATGCCAAAGAGTATCTACAGGGCTAATACATTTGTTCAAGACCTTGGTGCCTACATATATTATAAAGTAGACTTATTTACTGTGAGGGGACTCTTGACTTTCCTGCATTTACTTACATTCCAGCGCTTTCTATTACTTAATAATGGTAATGAAATAGCCCAATATATATCAGAGATGTCACAATCCAGTTTATAAAACGTTTACTGCCTGGCTGATGAATTTTTCGAGCCTACTTTCATTGAGAATATAAAAACAACTTTTCATAGTTTTTTTTTTTTTTTTTTACTTCACTAAGCCACATATTGATTGTACAGTTGGTTTAAACGCGTTGCGACATGCCTACATTTCAACACGTGAAAAAACAAGCGTCCCCCTCTTTTTTTTTTTTTTTTGTTTAGTCAGTTTTTTTCTACGTCACATGACTGAATTGTGTCCTGACGTCACCACCCTTCACGGAAGTAAGCGCTGGAGATGGTGGCGGCCTCGTCAGCCTAGCAGCAGGAAGAGGATGTTTGCTTCCAGCGAAAGGATAATATCACCTTATTATAAGCCTTTATAACAGAGTAAAGCCCCATAGAGTGTTTGTGCGGAGCCTGCTGGGATTGAGACGGCGCATTCCCTCTCCTGGAGCCGGCCTCTGTGAGCCTGAAGCGGGGCGCAGGAGAAAATGTCCCTGTTCCAGTCGGCACTGGATTTCCTAGCCGGGCCCGGCTCCTCCGGGGCGGCCAGCCGGGACCAGAATGATTTCGTCGGACAGGTCGTTGAGCTCGGTGACATGAAACTGAGGATCAGAAGGGTGATCGCGGAAGGTGAGATGGGTTACATCGCAAACGAGAATTGTTGTTGATACCGTCTTGCTCGCCTTGTGAGGCAGGATGCTAGCTAGCTGAACTAGCTAACAGATTAGCATTAGTGACATATTTCTGCTGGTAGTCAATGACAATAGCGTTTGCAACTGCAGAGGTATGAGTCACTGAGTAAACACCAGTTGATGATTTGGTTTCGTGTGTCTAACAAGCATGAAATGATGGTGTGTGTGTGTGTGTGTGTGAGGGGTTTGATGCGAAGACAACTTTAACTTTAAGCTTGCTTTGTGCGTTAGCGTCTATTCTCGTTGAGCTGGTTGGTGAATGTACGCTAGGCTGCACTTTATATGTCCAACCCAACCCCATAGTTAACTACATACCTTAAACCTTATCATATTCCTTGGCAAGTAAGGCCTGTTTGACTCCAGAGGAAGATCATAATGGAGTGGACAGGAAGGCATGCCGTGGTGGAAGGACTATAACCGTGATCTTACTTGACATGGGAGGGTAAAAACTTCATGTTAAATACACAAACAGGCCAATTAGAGCACCTGCAGAGCTTTGCGAGAGTCTTTCATGTGACATAAAGGGAGAGATTGATTGAGTGCCAGTTCTCTTTCCTCCATCATCCCTCCTTGTTGTTCTTTATTCATGCTGGATAGGGCTGCAGTGCAAACAAATAAACAAAAATAAGACATGTGAAATGTGTTGATGAACCCTGGGTTGTCTAATGTGTTCCTTGGAAGGTCAGCATCAAGAAAGTTGTGTTTTTGTCTGACATTTTGACTGCTTTGCCAGTGAATCACCATCAAAAAAAAACAACAGGATTTTGATTTAATTTTCTTTATGTTATTAGACTCATGTTAATCACAAAAAGTGCCATTTGCCAGAGTCCCTTCATCGTATGCTGAGGAAATTTAAAGGAAGCGCTATTACAGCAACTTTGGTTCATAATAATGTGTCTGGGTTTGAATCTGAAATAGCAGCCTGTATTTGCTTGTATGCTAAAAAAAACCCCAACAGCGTCTGGTTACAGGACACGTGTGAACCCAAAGATCAGGTTTCTTTCCTAGTGGCACCGAACAGGGATTCTTATCCTCACTGCAAAGGGGCAAGATAATCTTTCTCTACTATCATACATGGTTATTTGCCATAGTGACGGGTCAGGCAGACAGTAAATATTTAATGTTTCATTTAATCACAGGCACATTTAACAAGAAATAATGGTTAAATCTGTGGTTTAATATTAGTAGTTAGACCATGTAGGCCCAAGATAAGAACTCAGTTTTCAACATGGTCAGAGCAGTAGGTCAGAGTTGAACTCATGATGTGGATTCAGTGGTTCAGCAAGCAAACTTCACTTCTATGTCATTTATGATCATGGTATTCCTACAACACAAACCAGCAAAATAGCAGAAAAAATAAATACTCAACTAATTGACGGCTTCTCCAGTCGTGTATTTGATTGAGAAACAAGAACCAGATTGGCATTAATGACACTGGCAAATCTCTCTGTGCTTTTTGTCAGCAAGTAATGTGTGCCTTTTTCCCACCTTCTTACTTTTCTGGCTAATTGTCACAGATTGTTTCATCACTTTAGCTGGGTCACTCAAAGTACACGCTACCATGTCCGCTTTTCACAACTCTGACTCATTCTGAGGCAGTCTCTCTAAAGTGAATTGTATGTGTAGAACACTTAATTCCTTCTTTTAGATACATTTATGCATATGTTATAAAAACCATAACAGCAGATTGAAAAACCATCACTCTAAGGCTGCAAGAAAAATATTTTCAGAACTGATTAACTGGTTCATTTATTTTAGTCATCATTAAGTAAAAAGAAATGCCAGAAAATAGTGTAAAATGCCCATCGCATCACATTATTCAGCTTACAATAATATTAAGAGAATTAAGCACCAGTTAACGGTTATATTTTTCCTTGATACATGACAAACAACTCAATGATTATTAAAATTGTCGCTACTTAACTTTCTGTAAATATATGTTCAACTGATTGTTCACTAATTCCACTCTGATCAACAGTGCAATCAGCCATGATAGTTTGTTGGAGAGAAGTTGGACACGCAAGACTTTTTAAAATCAAAGCAGATGGTAAAACGCAGGATCATTTTACACTGAACCTTCAGCTTTTTCAAACATCCTGCTGACTGAAATGTGCCTTTGTTGTGTTTCCTCACCAAGATCTTTGGTGAGAGAATACAATGGATAGCTGTAACAAGATGGTTCTTTTTTGTTGTTGTTTTTTTAGAGCCATGACTAGTTTGTCTGTCTACTGTACCAGCCACTTGGGAAGATAGACAATCATCATTCAGGGTTTGTTCCACTTCAAAGAATCTATTTAGGTAGCCACAAAATGCTCCTGGGTAAATTTAGGAACCACTCTGTGTGTTGGTGATGAAGGAAAAAGTCAGCGCACAAGTGTTGGTTGGTTTCACAAACACATACTTTCTCTTTGTCTCTCAGGTTAGTGGGCAGAGATTAATTTCTCCACATTAATAAACAGGTTTTCAGGAACTGTGACACCTGGTTTGCCTTTCCTTTCTTTTGGCTTTTATGCCCTCTTCTGAGCAGGTGAAACAGTAGACAACGGGTCTCTTTATTCAGGGGCCAGAGTGGTATTCCTGTAATTATTTAACACAAGCACAAAGATTGTAGGGTCGGGTATGATGGGGTAGGGTCATTCTTAGTGTTTTTCTTTCAATGAGTTGGTAATTGGAACAAAGGAAATGGACCCTTTCAGGTTCCAATCCTTCCCATTTGCCAGCACAAAACAGAGGAAGACATGTGATCCCCACAGGGAAGGGTGTGCATTCCCAAAGCAAAGTCACATACTGCCATTGCACGCAAATGTTGCTGTAGCGGACAGTAAAGGTTGTACTGTGTGCTTTGTGTTGTGTTTGTAATAGGTTAAAGTACGTGTAAGTGTAGGGAATAAGGTTGTAAGAAAACATAGAAAAATATCTTATTGCAATATTTTGTTTTGTGATGTTGTGTTTATTCTCGTTTTTAAACCCCCAACGGCTAGATAACCTTTCTAACTTTTTTTTTTAATTTAGGTTTGTGCATAATGTGTTATTTACAATATGATAGTTTTCCTAAAATATTGTAACCCCTTGTATTATATTGCCAAATTCTTTCCTATACACAGCCATAGTAGGGAATGGGCTCAGAATGCTCTAAAACTAGTGTTATTATATGTTATAAAGGCAAAAGGGGGCATGACCATCAGGTTGGCGGTTTGAATCCCAGATAAGGTTAGAAAACCGGGACTGGCAAAATAAAAGCTGCTCTACACAGCTGGGCAATGTTCCCTATGTAAATTAAACTTCAAAGATTAGAATCTTGAGTGTGCTCATTCAGGTTTTCACAGAGCAAAGCAAGGCTGGTAGTTGATTTACCATCACTATGGTAACCTCTCCCTGGCCCTGTTTGGACTGTGGCTTGTTGTTAGCAGACACACAGGTTTGCTGAAAGAGTTAGGAAACCAAAGGTTCTAGTCAGCTAGTCACAGTGGCTTTTAAATCTCAAAATAAAAAAAAAGAGCTGTCACAAGAATTACATTGTGATTTATATAAATTAGTTATGATTATGTATTTATAGGTATTATTATCATTTACATTTTGTGTCAGTGTATAGACTATTAGTTAAAGGTCCAGTGTGTAACATTCAGGAGGCTCTATTGGCAGTAATGGAATATAATATCCATAGGTATGTTTAGTGTATAGTTGCCTATAAGAATTGTGTTTTTGTTACCTTTAGTATGAGCGTTTTTATCTAAAGACGCTATGGGTTGCCTTCTGTGGAGGTCACCATGTTGAACTGCCATATTTCTACAGTAGCCCAGAAGGGACAAACAAAACACTGGCTCTAGGTAGGGGCATTCTTGTTTTTTGCGCATCTCGTGGCCATCGTAGTTTGACGCCACGTAGTTGCAATTGGCGACTACACTGCTAGATGCCACTAAATCCGACACTCTGGACTAACTAAACTACGAGCAACAGCCTATTTGAAGCTCGGGGCTGTCAGTAGCACTTATTTGTAAAATTTTAATTAAAGGTATGTGGTGCTGTTCTATAAATATGTATATCCAGTTGAGAGCAGTCTGTCCAGCTGTAGGTCTTTCAGCAAAAGATGGAAGTCATACCACACACCACTGATTCTCCTTCCTCCGTAATAGCTGGGTTAGGTGTATTCAGCGGGGGCTTAGCACTGTGCCCAAAGGTTAGAGAAGTGCGCTTGTTATAGAAAGGTTGCATGTGTTGTGTTGTTCTTGAGCAAGGCACTTAAGCTCTAACCTCACTCAGTGGCCAGCAGATAAGACTGTGGTTGCACTTGGTAGCTTCCAGGGTTAAATGTTTATGGGTGTGTGAAACAGGGCGTGCTCCCTGTAGTCACAAGCTAAAACCAAATGAATTCAATATCCAGTGGAATGGAGTAGGGTGTATGGTGTGCAGGTGGTATTTCCACCATTTAAAAAATGTACTTCTGTTTGTCACTACTCAGTAGTACATAGCCAGTGCTTCCTTGTTAGTCGTCACTTTAACACATTAAAGTACAACAATCATAGTAGAACAAATCAGACATAGAAATGTGACAGTTGCAACGTTGTATTACAACAAGGGATGCGTGATATCAGTATCAGGTATCGCATCTGAAACTATGCTCACGTACTCGTAATTGTAATCATAAAACTACTCTGATATTGCATCCGATAGCACTTTACAGCAGCGTGGCATTGCATATCTTATTATCATATTTTTCCCCAAATGTAAGCACTTGTGTTTGGTCTGAAAAAAGTGCATCTATTACATTACAACGCATCCTATTCTCCATCACATATCAAAATATTGTATCATTTGAAGAGCTTAAGAGTGCACATACTATACAATGTAAATGACATTCTAGTTGCTTTCTCTTTTCTCTCTCAGGTGGATTTGCCTTTGTGTATGAAGCCCAGGACATGAGCAGCGGTAAAGACTATGCCCTCAAGGTAGGATAAAAGAGTACCCACTGAGAACATTCAACCTGTTGCTGCTTGTTACACGCTGAACCACTCAGCATTGCACGTTCATCCAATCGTTATTAGGAGTTCCTCGAGCAGGTTGCTTCTTAGAGAATAACATGGCTCAAAGAATTATGGCACAGTTTTAAATATGTGGGGACCATCTGCTCCAAACTTAATTATTACTCTCCCTGTTGTATGCGTACTGCTGAACAATGTAGGGTTAAGATGCTGTGTGTTGATTTTTTTTTTAATGCAGGGCGAATAAATGATAAATGCACAAGGCAGAAACAGGTAAAAAACGCTGCTACACAATGGCTGTATAGATGAAATGTGGTTAAGGAAAAACATTAATGTGCTAAATAGGATGTTTGGATTGGGCTTTCTTGAGAACATCCATTTTAGACTTCACTCCGGGTCTAAATCTGTGTCGCCGTAATCAGCAGGAGCAGCTAATGGGACAATCTCCTATCCTGTTTGACTTGGCATCGAAATCAGTTCTCCCATGTTCAAAGCAGATACTGTGGGGACTGTTTATTGAAGAATTATGTTCAGTCCTTTTAGGTATGTTTAATAAAAAGATGATGATGTTGTCTGGTTACAGATTAGCAACCAACTAATGATCTCTATTTGAATTTATTTCAGAGGCTACTGTCCAATGAGGAAGAAAAGAACAAGGAAATCATACAGGAAGTCTGCTTCATGGTATCCTTTATCATCATCATTAAGAAAACACGCATTTCTGTTTTATCGTGAAGTCATCTTACCCAGGACTTCACAAGATTGTGGAATACACCTTCAGCATATTATACTGGCATTACTAGTTTATTGGCAGCACCCCGCGATGCCACAATACACAACACAGGACCTAATATATATTTACAATGCTTAATTTTGTTTGCATCGTGTTTTCACACACACAAACTGCTCTGTGGTTCTGTCCATAAAAGCTTGTAATATGTGAATGTTTTCTAAAGCACTCTGGTGTGTTTCTTGTTTGAGGAGAGCAGAAAATGAATTATTCAGAAGGGGGTTTCATTCACAGATGTGTTATTCAGTGGCTGCCAGGAGGAGTAAGATCAAAGCACTGAAGCACCCATTGTATTCCAATCTCTCTGGTTTTACTTCATAGAGTTACAGTTTTTTTTTTTTTATCAATGAGATAACTCGGTTAGTGGACGGAACTAATGAATCTGGGAAATGTCTTGTACAGTTGGACAAAGTTGTGTCATGCCATGCAGCACATTGCAGAGGCACAAGAAATTTGGGAATGAGACACCGTGTCCCTGCTTCCATTGCAACATTTTTAGAGTTTATGCCCTGAGTGCTGATGAGGCAGAAAAGTCTAAAGTAACCGGCGAACTCCTCCCGTTGGCCAACCACAATCTCTTCCTGCTTTCCCTGTTTTTGTGCTCATTTGAGGCTTTTGTGTCCATGGCCAGTAATTGACCAGTGGTTTTTATCATATAACCCACCCTACTGTAGGTAAATCCCACCAACTTTGGGACCAGAGGATCATTAGTAGTTTCTGTTTGAGACTCTGAAACAAGTGACCCGAGGCCAGGCTTGACACCACAATTTTTTTTTTCTGAATGTTCCTTGACCTGCTTGCTCTGTAGAAAAAGCTGTCGGGTCATCCCAACATGGTTCAGTTCTGCTCCGCTGCTTCCATCAGTAAGGAGGAGTCAGACACCGGACAGGCCGAGTTCCTAATCCTCACCGAGTTGTGTAAAGGTAAATACACTCATTCCTACACAGAGAACTTCTGCTTCTTCTTTTATTTCCTCGCTACTTCTTCACTGAATCCGTACTTACTCATTCATCAAACTATATTGCAGTAAATCTGTGTCGTCAGCTTCATTTCCCAGTAACTTTAACTGAAAGACTTTTGTGATGAAACAGTTTCTTGTCTGCGGCCTTTCTACTTCCTGCTCGGTTTCCCTTCTGTTCAGCCTGACTCATTCACTTTTTCAGCTTTGTTTGCCGCTCTTTACTGACGCTTAAAAAAATCAGAAAAATCATTATGAACACATTTATTTGATGTGTGTGAGGCACTTTTCCATTTGATTAACTATTTTATTGCACAACCTTTCCCTACACTGTCTCTTTCCTGGATGGGTTTTCTTTCATTCTTGTGTTTCTATCTCTTGTGCCTCAGGTCAGCTGGTGGACTTTATAAAGCGGGTAGAGCAGAGGGCTCCCCTGTCATGTGACACTGTGCTGAAAATCCTCTACCAAACGTGCCGCGCCGTGCAGCACATGCACAAACAGAAGCCTCCGATCATACACAGAGACCTCAAGGTTTGTAGTTGCTTGGTGGTTGGATGAGTGAATGATGAAGTATCGTGAAATACCCCAGATTTAAATGGAAAATCTCAATATGACAACTTTTTGTATGAATAAGACACCGCAGTTTAAAGCACAAGAATTGATAGTACTTTAAAAATGTGTGGTGATTAGGATTCCTGATTGGGAATGAAATGTGCGTTGACTGACCTGCTAACCCAGTACTTACTTGATGTGTTGCAGATTGAGAACCTCTTGATTAGTAACCAGGGCACCATCAAGCTGTGTGACTTTGGCAGCGCCACCACAGTGTCACATTACCCTGACTACAGCTGGTCGGCACAGAAGAGGTCCATGGTAGAGGATGAGGTATATACACACACGCGCGCACACACACACACACACACACAGGTTGAGATTTGTAACTAAATCAATTGTCTTGATCCCGGAATATTTCCTGGATATTTAAGGATATTTTCAGGGAAATAATACAAAAGTTGCAGTAATTGCGCAAACAGTTCACACTGCACAAACGTTTTATCTTTGAATGCATCTTGCATTCTCTAATTTTGCTATGAAAGTCAATTCTTCAATTGAAAGGGGAAAAAAACACATATTTTACAGTGGATCAATTGCAATGCTGGCGTCATGATGTTAGGCAGGAACCAGAAACCTTTGATTAAATTAACATCTAGAGGTTCAGGAAGTGCTGATCAATTAAGTTAATTATATTTATACCATAACCACAGAGACACACACTCACACACAGGACATTTGCCACAGATGACCTCAGTATGCAGGTCCCCAGAGATCCTGGTTTCTAAATGTAATAACCTGCGTGTCCATCTGGCACCTGTTTTTAGACTGGTAACACAAAAGAGATATTTATGATGGAAAATATCAGGTAGATGGCTGTTCAGTTTAGATGTGAATAATTAGTTTCTAAATGCTTAGCTTCAGAAGTAAAACAATTTAGTAGAAAGACATTTTCCCAAAGGCATTCTAAAAAAAAACACGCCTTAGATTAGCATTAGTTAGTCAAACAACTAACATTTGACTATAGCTGGATACTTGGCTCTGGTGTTTGTGTGTTTAGTTTGTTTTTTGTGTTTGTATTTGTGTGTAGATCACAAGGAACACCACTCCGGCGTACCGAACACCAGAGATGATCGATCTCTACTCCAACTTCCCCATCAATGAAAAACAGGACATCTGGGTCAGAGCTTTCACCTTTTTTATTTTCTATCCTCCAATGTCAGGAGTCTAATCCAGGACCAACTGTGGTTAAGATTTTCCCGTTGCTTCGGCCGAACTACCCATCACAGTGTCTGTAGAAAAGAGATTCTGTGTGAAGCCAAGATAATCAAAGATCAGAACATCACTTTATCCTGATTGGTAGACATAAGTGTAGAAAAACAGGATTTAGCCATGTTGTTAAAATGACAAATAACATTGCTCATAGTCAGCAGACCAGATTCACAGTTGTCCGTGTAATTATGGGTTTTTCTTAGCGTGTTTTAAGGGTCTATAATGCTTATTTCCTGTAACCGAGGCAAAATAATAGCAGTGATTTGTCACACAAAACACACATAACAGAAGTGCCTGTTGATTGTAATTATTTAGGGGTCATTAACAGACATTAGCAGTAGTTGTTTAAACACAGCAGATTGTCTTCTGACAGTGTTTTGGGTCAATATCTTTTGTTAGTCTGTTCATAAAGAAAAGTGGCTCGATAGTTTATTGTCTTTATTATCTCTGTTATGTGCACTCTCCCATGCAGGCCCTAGGATGCATCCTCTACCTGTTGTGTTTTAAGCAGCACCCATTCGAGGAGGGGGCCAAGCTGCAGATTGTCAACGGAAAATACTCCATCCCTCAGAACGATGTCAAGTACACCGTGTACCACGACCTCATACGTACGTACTTTCGTTCTAAGTGTGCTAGTTCCCGCCTGCCTGTTCATTTATTCACCCATCCCTCTAGTTACCTCGACTCTTCTGGCCCGCATGTCACCTTTACCAGCCACAAATATGCATTCAATAAACGTTCATATGGAGAGTTAATTATTGGCAGTGCCGCCAGTACCTTGTTACAGCTAACCTAATTAGGGCTAAACAGCTCTACCTGGTGGACAATTTAATCTTTTGGCAAAAAGTGGTACAAATTAAATTGTAATAATTAACCTCAGAATAATATGTTGATTGATTGTTCATATTGATTGCTGTGCAGGTGATTAACATTACTAATTGATCATATATATATATATATATATATATATATATAAATAAATAAATATATTTAATTTAGTTTTTTTAATCCTCCTCATCATTAACTACCTCTTCAGATTTTTAACATTTCCTTATTTTTTTCCACTGCACCCCTCTCCTCCTCGTCCTCCTCCCCCTCCTCCTCGTCCTCCTCCTCCCCCTCTTCTTCCTCTTCCTTGTGCTGTTTAGGTTCCATGTTAAAGGTGAACCCAGAGGAGCGCCTGTCCATTACAGAGTTAGTCAACCAGCTCCAGGAAATAGCAGCAGCACGCAACGTCAACCCCAAATCTCCCATTACAGAGGTAGGTGTGTGCATGATTGTGCTCAGCCCTGCTGTAAAAAAATAAAATAAAAAAAATCTACGTCACTAGATTTAAGAAGTAGGTATGGGAATCGAAACCAGTTCCAGTTGAGAACCGGAAAGGAGTCGGAAAGGAAGAAACAGGCCAAAGAATGGTGGCGTTTCACAGAGAAACTCAAACTACTACAACTCTACCCTTTCTGCACTGTGTTCAGGCTCAGAGATAATAAACCATTTGCGTTGATGTTGAAAACCAGTGTAGGCCTACTTTTTTCCACACAGAAAACCTAATAGGAATCAACAAGGGAATCAAAAAAAGAATCAAGCCGACAAGCAGAATTGATAATGCTATTGGTATCAATAAAATCTCATCTTTCGCACCACGATAATGAAGTGATACTAAGGTAAATCTCTCCAAATCATCACCATCAAGTAGTAGACAAATACGGTGCTGTGCTGGTCTGTTGCTATTTGTGCTGATATTTTTCAAGCCCTTCTTGAAGAGAAAGTCATTGTTTCTTTGACTGAAGTGACCACCATTGAAATGGAGTAAAATTATGACTGTGGCTGTTAAATTACTCTATTCTCCTCGCCAGTAGAGAAATGCATTTGACCAAATGTTTCTATTTCTATAAAAATGGATTTTAAACATTAATAATTGATTTGATTTAAGACTTTCCAAGACTTGTATTAAAGCTCATGAATTTGTTGTAACTGTCTAAAGTGGTTTCTGCTTTGGGTATCAGTTTTGAGTAAGTGACAACTATCACCAAGTGCATTTTGGAGTAAACAATTTGATTGGCTGGAGAAACAGGGGCGCATCCTCAGTGCCTGCCAGCCCGTGAAGAGGCTATTGACAGGCCGACCACACGGCTTCTTCCGCTGTGTGTGTGTTACCGTGCCCTCAAATTGCTGATGTGGTTGCACTTGCCTCACATACAACCAACACACACACAGTGGAAAGCTGAAAGGGGTCTGTATTCTCTCTCCCAGGCTCCTCTCTTCCCAGCTGGCATGGTCCTAATAGGTCCCAAGACACAGAGAGACATAGAGGTGGAAAGATGGGTGAAACTGAACTTAAAAACAAGCGTAAAGTGATTCCAAAACTTTACTAGTATAGCAGTGTTTCAGCTAGCATTGTGACTCCCATCTACCGCCCACAGTGGCTAATTCATCACAGTCAGATTTAAGACTTTTAGGTTTTTGAGTAGAAAAGCCTTTTACCCTGCATGGTGGCAGGCCACGACCAACTAAGCAGCCACAGCCTCTTATGATTCTTACCACAAATCCACAAATCCTGGTACTTATCACCAAATCCTCTGCCACAGTTGAGATTTATAGTATGTAAAGCTGATTTCAAAGTTGTTCTTCTTTCTTTCAACAACTTTTTGGTGTGCAGTGCTCATATGATTTAGCAGAGCCAATGTATTTATCCTGAATTATATTTCTATCCCAATTAAAAGTATGAATTCTGGAGAACATGCCACTGTAGGGAAATATGTTTTCCTTCTTACCGAACTGAATCCCGATAAGGCTGGTAAATGTGTGCAGAGTGAAGGCAGATTTGGTGATCGCTGAGCTGATTAGGGTTAAGAAGGGGTTTCCCTGTTGGACATAAGGAGAGTATAATCCTCCTTCTTCTCCTCCTCCTCTTCTCTCTGCTGCTTCCTCGGCACAGACATATGGAGAGGCAGACTGTGAAATGGAGCAGAGAGGAGGGAGAGGAGAAACCTGTCATGGATGTGAAACACTGAGAGGGAAATACGGTAGACATCCTGGAGGAGAAGCGAGACTCAGAAGACTGTCTGGCTGCTTTAACGCAGACCCATACACTCCAGTTCTGAGAAATATTTAGAAATAGTTTTTTAATATACTTTTTGGAGTTTTATTGAACTGCTGCTTTTACATGTAGGAACAAAGACCAGATCTGTTGCTTAACACTCAGGATTTTATTGATGCTCTTTTTCTGTTCTATTATTTTATCATCCCTGTTTTTATTCTTTACTGGGATGCAATTTTTCCATTTTCTGAATACCTTTTTGCTGCTCTAAGGAAGATTTTTTCTGATTCATTTTCTTCCCTTTCTCTTTGTAAAACTCTTATCGGTGGCTGCTCCTCATTCACATCTGTTTTTAACATCTTAGGTCCTTGTTGCAAGTGTTTTTTAAAGTTTTTTTTTGTCAGCTTGTTTTTTATTTTGTTATCTGTTACAATGTTGAGTACGTACTACTGTTGGCGCCCAGTGTATGACGGCTATGAATGTCTGCAGCTGCTGGAGCAGAACGGAGGTTTCGGCAACAACGGAGCCCAGCCGCCCATGCAGATCCACAACGTCCACAACAATGCAGGTAAATGTTTGTTTGCAGGACAGTATTATGCTCTCTGTGGGTTTGGGACAGTGTTTGTTTGAGAGGTCTCAGGGTTTGTGTTTTTTTTATAGTGTTTTATCTGTTTCGAGTGTTCACACGTTGGATTTGTTATGCTGCACCAAACTGGTAAAATAACTACCTTTACACTTAATTTCATGAAAGTATTCATTTTTATAACCTTTATCCTAATCATCCAGGAACACATAGTCACACACACACACACACACACACACACACACACACACACACACACACACACACACACACACACACACGTATTGCACTCACCCCAGTCCCACATGGCAATAAGTAATCTGGTTAGTTCACCTGTGATCGTTCTGCAGTCAGTAGGTGAGCTGTTTTTAACCCCATTGGTTCAGATACTCACATGAGCCATCCACTGCTTTAAAGTGTGTGTGGCTCATGAATTTGTTGTAACAGTGGTTTCTGCTTTGGGTATCAGTTTTGAGTAAGTGACAACTATCACAAGTGCATTTTGGAGTAAACAAGTTGATTGGCTGGAGAAACAGGGGCGCACCCTCAGCCTGTGAAGAGGCTATTGACAGGCCGACCGCTGGCTTCTTCCGCTGTGTGTGTCACAGAATCGTGATAGATATGTACGGAAATTTCCCAACATGACAATCATTTTCATTGGTTATTAGAGCAGGATTCTTTGACTTTGCTTCGAAGTCTACGCACAATGTTCTAGTCATTCTAGAACACACTAACCTTAAATGATCTTGAGCATAAACCCGAGGCCAAGAAGCTTGTCTAATATTTGAGATTTTAATTTGTATGTCACTGGCTGTGATGGCTGGAACACACACACACACACACAAGCTGTGTACTCTCCATTAAGAGGATTTCTGCACGGCCAGTCAACCATCTGTTGAAAGGCAGAATATGTTTGCCCTGGTCTGATGAATGGACGAGAGGACTGGATCCACTCCTCAAGGGAAAGAGCAATCTGTCGTATCTAAACATGATGCAGCTTCAACACAGTGGAAAGCAACTGATTTTATCTATTCAAAGTATAAAAAAAACAAACAAGCATTTGTGTGTATGTGATGGTGTATGTGCCGTGCACATTGCAGCTAAGAGGGAATGGGCCATTTTGACCCTACATACCCACATCTGCAGCCATAGAATAAGTATTTTACTTATGGTTTTCTAATTAGACAAATGCATGTTTTCTAATGTATTTAGGTCCTTTTATCAGATCATTCTGCAGACCGTTTCATGCAAAGATTGCATAAATGCTTTTGTTCTCAGTGTGAGGTAACCTGTGACACTGAGTTCTCTAGCTAAACCGAATGTCAGTGCTTAAACAATGACAATGTCTGCAAATATATTATCTTCTTCATTCTCTTTTTCTTATAGGCATCTATGATCCTGACCAATCGGGAAGTGGCCTCTTCGATATCTTAAGGGGAGGAACAGAGCGCTTCCTGACCAACATAAAGGACACTTCCTCTAAGGTCATCCAGTCAGTAGCAAGGTAAGGTGCTCCAACCTTGTTATCATGATTATGATTTTTAAATGTATTCATATTCCATTTGCAGTCGAATACTTTTCAGTTAATATTTATTGTCATTACAGCATGAGAGTTGAATAAAGCCTGTGACTCTGTTTATTAATTTAACCTTACAGGCACCTTTTTCCTTATTTCGCATGGCATCGTTACGTGTTGCTGAATTAATCTCATGATTCCCATTATGTTTATGTTTGTTAATGGTGTTGACTGAACTTTCAATTTAATTCCACCGCCGTGTTTGCTTTAGTAATCATTTATTACAATTTTGTTAATGGGAAATATCTGCTAACTGCTGAAATCACATTTATTGTACTGAAGTTATGCACTCATTGTCTTGTAAAGAATTTTTAATTCAGGCATCCACTGATTGGCTTAACAGTTTTCTAAACAATGCTGTTTGTCAGTTGTCAGCAGTCATGTTGCATCACCATTGCATCAACCTGAAGCAATTGTAGATGATTGTACACCTGCAAATTGTCTATGTAATGTAACCATTCATACTCATACCTACCCTGACCCCAGATTAACCCTTTAAAAGGAACATTTTGCTGCTCGGCTGTCTGAAATGAAGTTTTCCACTCTGATGGCAGACTTCCCAGTCCAGGAAAAGACAAGCCTCTTTGTAGTTCTTTCACCAACCACAGGCGTAAAAATAATTCAGTGGATGGTGGGTGTAACTTAGTCTGTAGTGTAGAGTAGTGATCAGTGACACTGCAGAAAACATTTACAGTGATTGTTGAAGTTATAGACGGGCAGCCTCTGTGACTGATCTGTTTAAAAGGGTTACAACGATGCAAACTGTTCCTTTAATCGCCACTTTATCCGTTCAAGTTTTGATGTTTCATTTGGTTATTCTATCATCGGTTTGTTCCATTTGTTTGGTCATTTTGTTTATTTTTTGTTGTTTCTTTTCTCTGTCCCAATCCCTCATGGTCCCACTATGTGTCCATCACCTAGCAACCCGAGGTAAATATGGGTCGGTGAAATGCGTCAGCTCATGCGTTGCTCTGTGTGCATCCGTAGTTTGTGTTTGATTTAGAGGAAGAAAAACCCCACTAAGCCATTTGCTGTGCTGTGTCCGTCATCACAGCTTGCTGATCCTAACATCACACATTCAATAATTCAATTGAATGACTGCAGAGCGTGATGTGAATGGATGGATGAGTATCATTTTAAGAGTGAATGGAAGGGTCAAATAATTGGAAAATGACATCAGTGAATGACAAACAAAAAAAGTTAAACATATTCTCTATGGATGTTATGGGAACTAATTGGGCCAGCCAAGTTTAAAATTAAAATCAAGCATTAAAATTAGAGCTGGTGGTAGAGCAATGATTGCCTCATTACAGAACCTGCAGCAGACAAGTCTTTATAAAGTTAAATACCAGAAAGCAGTGCACAAGCAACAGCCCTCAAAGTTTAGTCAAAATTCAAGTTGTTTGTAAAAAGAAAAAAGCCTTAATTTAGCTGCCATTGTTATACCAATCATAATTTGTATGTATAATTTGTAAAGGATTTTCAGCTGTCCAAGCCTCATTCATAACCTATATCAGTGGTCCCCAACCTTTTTTGTCAGGTGTACCCCTATACTAGGGGGTACACTAACATTACTTTTCTATTTCAGCCATTTATTCATCACTTTTAACTAACTTACTAACTCATGTAGGGTTTTGGGTGCTACAATCTTTACACTTACCTCCAACAAACTCCAAGAGTGTATACAAGTACTCCTGTTTGGGAATAACGATATGAATGAATGAATGAATGAGTGAATTAATTAATTGTAGTTTAAAGGTTTTAATATGGCTCCACTGCTTACTAAATGGCAATTTCAGCTACATCTGTGTCCTAACCATCACCCGTTTGTCCTGACACCACACATGTAAAATTGAGTGTCATCAGCATAGATAGATTTTTTTGGTTTGTTTTTTTTTTTTGCTCGACCTAAAGTTTGTGTGTTCTAAATTAAATTTTAGCGGTATCATACTGCATTGTTTTTGCTGTTGTCATTGTTCCAATATGATATGCTGTAAAATCCAATGTGGCCTATGTTCTCCATCAGTTAACTGCCAATAATACTTAACACCAAGGAGCTATTGGCAGTAATAATTCTCAAGAGCAACAACAAGCATATTTGTGGGACCTTCATCAAGACTGTTTGAACTCCTGTATTGTGTGGTAGCCTAGGCAGGGATGCCCATTCAGCCGTGATTAGGAACCTCTCTATCCTGCAACATTGTGGTTTCAATACCAGAATATACCTAGTATATAGTAATGCAAACTTTTCTTGTTTCTGAACCAGTTTGCGTTACCAGGCTGTTTGTTTGGCTCTATTTGTGCAGTCTCCCAGACCGTAGAAATACCTTTTTTACTTTTCTATATCTTGGTGTGTTTTTTGTCCTCTCCACTATTTTGTATACCAACTCCTTTTTTATAAGTGTGCTTGTAATTTCTCTTACAGCTATGCCAAAGGTGACCTGGATATTTCATACATCACCTCCAGAATAGCAGGTAGGCATAGTACCCTCAATAAAACCTACTTTTTCATTTTTTTTTTACCTTATTTTACTGCATAATGTTGTGATTTTGCTGTTAACATTTCAAGAACAAGAAACTGTTTAATAGCTACACATTTCTCTCTCTCTCTCTCTCTCTCTCTCTCTCTCTCTCTCTCTCTCTCTCTCTCTCTCTCTCTGTGTCTGTGTCTGTGTGTGTCTGTGTCTGTGTGTAGTCATGTCCTTCCCAGCAGAGGGGGTGGAGTCAGCGATAAAGAACAACATTGAGGACGTCCGTCTGTTCCTGGATTCGCGTCATGCTGGCCACTATGCTGTCTACAACCTCTCCAAACGATCATACAGGCCTTCTCGATTCCACAACAGGGTATGACGTTTGTGTGTTTTAGAGTGGGACATTATCAAAGTGTGTGAATGTGGGTCACTGCTGTGAGTGGATAGTTTGTTTACTCTTAACAGTCAGTATCAGTAATGTTTTTCTCTTATTTGGCACTGTAATACATACCTTTTTTATTATTGCTGTATATTTGCTAAAGTTACTCTTACTTTTTGTGTCTGTGTCTGTGTCTGTGTAGGTTTCAGAGTGTAACTGGCAGGTGCGCCGTGCCCCTAACCTCCGCAGTCTCTACAGTGTTTGTAAGAACATGCATCTGTGGCTCAAACAAGACCAGAGGAACATCTGTATAGTACACTGTCTGGTAAGTAACCTCTCGCCACCTGCTAGATGACTAAGATGATGGATGACTTAATCCCTAATGCATGCTCAGATGGGCTGAGGGAGTAAAATATGGAGGAGGATGACACCTGCAATATCTTAATTAATTATTAACTTCAGCTTTTCTCTTTGTAGGATGGCAGAGCGGCATCAGCAGTGGCAGTTTGCTCCTTCCTGTGTTTTTGTCGACTTTTCACCACCGCTGAGGCTGCTGTCTACATGTTCTCAATGAAACGCTGCCCACCCGGCATAGCACCCTCACACAAGAGGTATACAAACACACACGTACAAATTATGAGGTGTAGAAAAGGGTTTTGGTTTTGTTGCTTAGTCATCTTGGTTTGGATTTAAGCCTAGAATTATGGAATAGATCCTAAACAGATCTCAAATATTTTTTGTCTTAATTTTCAAGCTCATCAAAATATTTACTGTAAGCTAACAAAAGCCCACAATTCTTGATCCTTACTTTGCTTTTGATCGTTGCAGGTACATAGAGTATATGTGTGACATGATGGCAGAGGAGCCCATCATCCCCCACAGCAAGCCCATAATAATCCGCTCCATCGTCATGACACCTGTGCCGTTGTTCAACAAGCAGCGTAACGGGTGCAGGCCGTTCTGCGAGGTCTATGTTGGAGACGAGAGAGTCCTCACCACATCACAGGAGTACGACAAGATGAAGTAAGTTTGTAGACGCGTAAGAATTCTCTTCAGCTTTCCCTCGGTAAAAGGAGTAAAAAAAAATTTGACTTTCAATTATTCATTCTTTCTCTCATTCTTTGGCTCTTTCCAGGGATTTTAAGATGGAGGATGGAAGAGCAGAGATTCCCCTCAATGTGACAGTTCAGGGAGATGTACTGGTGGTGATCTATCATGCAAGATCTACACTCGGGGGACGTCTGCAGGCCAAGGTATGAGCACACATGCATAATTATTGTGCAGCCCACATCAGCATTTTCTATCTCATCAGTTTTAAAATAGATTTGAGAGAAATTGTGATGAATATGCACAAAAGCTCATTTTTAATTCTATACTGTTGTTTCTCAGATGGCATCAATGAAGATGTTTCAGATCCAGTTCCACACAGGCTTTGTCCCCAGAAATGCAACCACTGTCAAGTTTGCCAAGTATGTACACAATTTTGAAAAATGCGGTACTTTTGATTCAGCAAGATCACTGTTTTTGTATTCTTAACATCCTATTCCCTGGACAATAATATTAACTACAACAGATTTGTTATTTTTTAATTAACTCTGTCTTCATAACTTCCTCTTTCCCATCTCCCTGTTCTCTTTTCAGGTATGACTTGGATGCCTGTGACATACAGGAGAAGTACCCAGATTTGTTCCAGGTCAACTTGGACATTGAGGTGGAACCCAGGGACAGACCCAGCACCAAGACCCCTCCTTGGGAGGGTTTCCAAACCAAGGGCCTCAACCCCAAAATCCTTTTCTCCTCTCGTGATGAACAGCAGGAGATCCTCAGCAAATTTGGTAGGTGACACTGTCTCCATTCACCTATCCATCTGTCTCTCAGTTCACTTATATATCAGAGATATTTCTTCTTTATACTCTCAAGCCCACTAGAAGCATGTGTTTCTACACTTTTTCTAATTCACTTGTACATTTGAACTTAACATCAAACCTTATTTACTACAGGAAAGCCTGAGCTGCCTCGACAGCCAGGTTCCTCAGCATTTTATGATTCAGAGTCGCCCCAGCCGGCTCAGACCCCAGAAGACTCTAATCCACCAGAACCAGAATCTCCTGGGAGCACTGATGGCAATGCCAACAACTTCTTCCAGACACTAGATTGGGAAGGTACTGTACCTGTGTTCTCGTTATAATATTTCAGCCTTGGCAAAATCATCTCTGTTTTGCTCTATACATCTTTAATATTCTGGTTATTGTCGTACTTTATTAAGAGGAGGAGAGAGCCTCTCATTTTGTTCCCTGCCATAGTTCTCCCAGACAAACCCTCAAACAGACCTCTTGATTTACCACCCTACTAACTCACTGATTCCAATTTATATTTGTAGATGTGCGTGGCCCTCAGGATGCTTCAGACAGCCAAGGAGGGGGATCCATGAATGACCAGGAGGACCTGAGTGATCAATCAGAAGGAGAGTCCTTCTCTTATTCTGCCCCCAGTGGAGAGCCACTGTCACGTGACCCCAGTGAACCACTGTTTGATGCTGACTTCCAGGTGGGGATCTTGGATGGCTGATTATATCATATCATATTATACTATCAATACAGTATGACTTCTGTTATCATGCACCCTTACTGTGTTATAAAGTGGAGCCAAAATGGAGCCAGATTTTCTTCTTTCACAATTCCATTCATTTCTGTCTTTTCTTGGTGTTCCCGTAGAGCCCCCCTCCCGCAGCCCAGGAATCTCCTATTGGGGATACAGCTGACCTCTTGGGGTTGAATTCTGACCCCCAACCTCCTTCCATGTCCTCGACCTCCTCATCTGCTCCTCATCAAGGGGTCCAGGAAGGAATGAAGGCTGCATCCAGCAACAGTGACCTCCTCAACGACTTGTTTGCACCCCCTGCTGGTCAGACAGTAGCAGTGCAGGAAGACTTGTTCTTCAGTGGGTCAACCAGCGGGACAACACCTGACTCAAAGCGTAAGGGTCGAGGCTTGTTTTGTGCATTGTTATGAAAAACTTAACAGGTATCTTCAGTGCATTTATTTTCTACCCCCCACTGTTCATGTTGCAGCCATGGGCGACCTTTTTGATCCGTTTGGGATGGGGTCCGGCTCTGGTGTTGGATCCAGTGTGGGTTCATCTAGGCAGGCCTCTGGACCGGACCTGTTTGGAGACTTGTTGCATTCTGATAGTTCAGCCACCAGCGGGTTCAGCTCAGCTCACAGTAACCCCACTCCTGCTTCCAACACAAGCCTCTTCAACCTCAGTAAGTACATCAGCCACTGTGATATCACTCAGCATTATGTCCCAAATCATATCTCGCCATCTGCTTTGGGGAGAGGACTCATTACACAAACTTTGGCTGTTTGTGTCTTAACAGATAAACTAGTGAATGATACCCCAAAGATGACATCATCAGCCAGCCAGCCAGACCTATTGGGTGGGTGGGACAGTTGGGCAGCTGGCAACACCGCTAGCATTAGTGCCACTGCCAGCAAACCCAACTATACCAACACAGGTAGGTGGAGGAACATTATGTTAGGGTGTCAGGCTGGAGATTGACTGGAGCACTAGAAATTGTCAGTTTCGTAGACAATCATGAAATTCTAACCTACATATTGTTACTGTGTCTGTAGCTTCTGGTGTGTCATCTATGTCAAAGGCTAAGTCTCAGACCTTTGATCCTTTTGCTGACTTAGGAAACCTGGCATCCAATTTACCAGGTAAGAGGCCTTGTCAACTATCCAATTGCCTGTAATGGTCCAGTGTGTAGAATTGAACTTAGTGGCATCTAGCAGTGTAATGTCAGATTGCAGCTCCCTCAGGTCACCCACCCCTTCCAAACTTAAAGGAGAAACTATGGTGGTCACGAAACACACAAAAAAAAACACCCTATCTATAGGAAGTGTTTGGTTTGTCTGTTCTGAGCTACTGTAGAAACATGACTGTTTAACTTGGCAGCCTCCATTGAAGGTGATCCATGGCATCTGTAGATAAAAGGCTCTTTCTAAGGTAATAGACACATAAGGATTCCTATATTCAGCTAAGTATAGACAAATGAAAACATTCCTATGAATATTATATTACATTTCTGCCAATAGATCCTACTAAATGTTACACACTGGACCCTTTTAAAAGAGAAAAACTTCACTTGTGAAATTATAAACTCATAAATTTATCTGAAGTAACTATCATTCCTCCTTGTTTTTGCAGGTTCCTCTGGGCCGTCCTTTAGCACAAAGGCTCCTCCCTCCTCTGCTAAGCCTCAAGCCCAGCCCTGGCAGGCTGGAAGACCCACCTCAGCCCAGAACAAACCTTGGATGCCTGGATCAGGCTCTGGGTCCACACCCAAAGCACCCGCAGCATCCCAGCCTGCAGGTGCACAGCCCACCAAACCTAACTACAACCTTAACTTTGCTAGTGTCATTGGTGGGAGAGAGGAGAGAGGAGTCCGTGGGCCTGGATTTGGTAAGAGAAATTAAGTAGACCTGAGTTGGGGATCATTTTGTAATGTAATGTTATTTTATATGTTATCACTCAAATATTACTCAGATATGGTTTTCAACTGAAAATGGAACAGGAATTTGTAACTTTTATGTACATACTGCGTTGATTCTCTGTTCTGTATTGTGGTGCAAACTCTTAAGAAATAGTTGAGCATGCATTCAGTAAAACAACTCAGCTTTGATGCTGCAGTTCTGTCACACAGCTACAGCACATGACACTGTTCCATTCCTTTTTAAATTTTGTATTTCCTCTTCAAAAAGGTTTCATCTTGTACAACAAAGTCTGCTTACATCTTTTTATTCCTACAGATTTTCTGTGACAGACAATTAATTTCCCTGTATTGTGTTGTAACGCAGGCCCCAAGCCTAAGGTAAAGGAGGATGATTTTGAAGACCTGCTGTCGACTCAGGGTTTCGCCTCTAGGCCTGATAAGAAGGGACCAAGGACCATTGCTGAAATGAGGAGACAGGAGATCACAAAAGACATCGACCCACTTAAACTACAGGTAACAAATTTAAATGCACATGTGAAGGACATGTTACACAACGAAAAAACCCACACAGTATTCAAAACAATTTCTTGAGTGGATGAAATGTAGTTCAATCTTTAAAAATAGCAGGATAAATCTGGTCGGGAAAAGTGAAAGAGCAGTGAATGCCTTTCTTGCATCACTCCCGTTCTCGCGGTGTTTCTGCCTTTTCTATGCTAAAAGTAGTAGAGGTTTATTTTATTGTCATGCTACAGATCTTAGACTGGATTGAAGGGAAGGAGCGAAACATCAGAGCGCTGCTGTCAACTCTGAACACAGTGCTGTGGGAGGGTGAAACACGCTGGAAGCCTGTGGGCATGGCTGATCTGGTGACACCCGACCAGGTGAAGAAGTACTACAGGAAGGCTGTGTTGATTGTCCATCCAGATAAGGTACAGTATAACATGCTGTCTATGCCGTTAGCCAGGGCAGGAACCAAAACTTGTTAAAAAGACAATTACAAGGCAAAATTGAATACTGGTAATCATAATCATTGCTTTCAGTGTGATTTACAAATATGTCAGCTCATCTTTACTGTTCTTTATTTGGAAATGTATTCTCTCTCTCTCTCTCTCTCTCTCTCTCTCTCTCTCTCTCTCTCTCTCTCTCTCTCTCTCTCTCTCTCTCTCTCTACAGGCAACAGGCAAGCCTTATGAACATTACGCTAAGATGATCTTCATGGAACTGAATGATGCCTGGTCAGAGTTCGAGAACCAGGGATCCAAAGCACTCTTCTAAAACCCTGGTCTGGATCCCAGACCAGACCAGACCAGACCAGACTGGACTGGATTTGGCCTAACCAAACAAGGGTTAGACTGGGCCAGATTGGACAGGACTGAGCCCACATTGGGCCTTAGGGGCGCAGAGCCTCTGAGAGGTGTCCTCTCTTCCATTCCCTTCACTCCCATCGTCCTTCTGTACTTTCTTCTGTTTCTACAGTCAAGGAAAAAGACCTTTTGCCTCGTGTCTGGCTGTAGTGAAAAGTTCCTCACTGGTTAATAAAGGGGCCAGTTAAATAAACATTGTGATAGCTCTTAAACTCACTGCCTACCTGTACGACTGCCTGAGTGGTGCTGCAAACATCAGGAGGGAGGAATGGGTGACAATCACATGAAGAAGAGAAAATGGAAAAGAAATCAGATAAAACAAGGACTTTTAAAATGACCAAGCTGATTATCATGACAGTGGTGTTAAATAAAAAGATAAAATGCCCCTACACTAATAAAATGATGGTAAATTTTGGCTGTGGCTGGTAAGTTTGTAATCTGTGCCTGGCACTTTTATAAACCGCCAGTCATTTAGCAGACTGGTAAAAAAAAGAAAATGGGAAAAAAAATGAACATGGCTTTAAACTTTGCAGCATGCCAGCCACCATTGAAGTTTGCAAAACATCAATTGAATGTTAAACCTTTAAGCTTAGTTGCCTCAAAAATAAACAAACATTGCTGATGAATCTTGGAACATACCAGCCACAGCGACCAATGGACAAGAACAAAAAAAACTCCCATCCCGCCTCTAATGCAGAAGCAGGATTAAAACCTCCCCAGGATTCTGAAACAAGGTAGATATGTTGATGATACCCGTTAATTCTTTGAAGTGCTACTGCTGCACCTTTTGGGGGTCAACACTTTGGTTGGGTTTGCTCTTGAGCCATTTCCTCTCCAGAAAGACAAGGATATTGCCTGCTGAACACTACTAGTGCTGCTTCTACCATTACAGTTACTGCTACATACACTCCTCAGATTGATGTTAAAACCTGCATCCTAAACTTCTGACTTCTGACGAAGGAACAGAACTTGTTTTGGACCCCCCATATAAACCCAAGCTGGCCGTCTGTTGTTGTTTTTTTGAAGTGCTCTTTTAATTCCAACCACTCAGGCTATACTGTGTAGCTAACTGCATGCTCTCCCACACCAAACCTCTAAACAACTGGAGCTAGGTGTGCTTGATTTCAAACCAGGGTAGTCCAAAATGGGCAGGGGGCTCTTTTAATGAAGTGCTCTTTCCCTTGTAGCAGAGACAGAGAAGAGTCTACTTGCCTGATTGCGCTGAGTGGCGGGCTACATGTCCTCCAAGCGTTCACACTGCTCATTGCTTTTGAGCATCTCCATCATCACTGTCATTATTAACCCCTCTCTTTGTCTCTGTAATCCCCACCCACGTCCTGCACACTACTTCAGTGGACTTTTGTTTTGTCAGTGCATAGGAGGAGATCAAAAAGTGAAGGAATGAAAAGAGAATATGGTGATTTAATCTGGTTACTATTGGTTTTACTGTTTCTTGTATTTTCTGGGTTCGTTCTGAGCGTTTTTTGTCAGTTAATCATCACTTCAGTGTAAATATAGAAATATTATCATCCATCAAGTGGCTTTGTTAAGATTACAGCTTTGGAAGTTGATTTGTTATTGAGCTTCAGGTTTGACTGCGTGAATGGTTGTATGAGTGTGTGTGTAAGTGTGTGTGCTTCTTTCTTGGGGGAAGATAACCTTGTTGGACATCATGCTTTCTTGTCTGCGATCACAATCCTTTCTTTCTTAATTTCATTTTTTCAGCCTCTCCCACACTTTTTGTTTTGTTTTGTTTTGTTTGTGTGGATGTTTGTCTTTTCAAAAATCTTTCCAACTTTTTTGCTCATTTGTTTTGCTCAGTTTTTTATTTCACATTTTACCTCATGGACCAATCAAATCACCTGTTTTCTTATTTATTATGTTTTTGGGAGGGTTGGGGTTATAATGACATGTGCTCATGCATATTAATGCCACAAGTGAAAAAAATTCAGATAATATATAAGAATGTGCTGAGTGCAAGTTGGACAGTTGTCTGATCACAGTGAGCCTCTTTGTTGCTGTTTTCATTCCAAAGCATCTACTATTAATACGAATGTGCTTTTACAAATATATATCCTCTTTGTTATTAAGCAGTATGTGTTTATCATTTGTCTCTTCAGTCTGTCTTTTTGTTGTTACTTTTTGTTTCTTTTTTCCTCTTAAGGCAGAATTGAAGTTGTTCCTTCTGTTTTGCATTTTGACATTTTGTTAAAATTCCAATGCGAGGGGCCAGTAAACTTAAGTTAAAAAAATAAAAAAACTCTCTTTGACAGTATGATCATAGTATAAAGAGGGAGGATTGCAAAACCACACATCGGCAGTGTTTACTGTACCAAATTACATCATACTAATATGAATGTAGATTTCTGTGCAAAAACAAATAATTAAAAATCTTTTGATCTGTTTTGTTGTCTTTATTTTGAAGATTCACAGTGACTTTCACAACCTGCTGCTTTTTCGACGGTAGAAACCTCACAATCAGTGTGCTTTGGTACTGAATATGATTTTTTTTAAATTTCATTCTAGTTCCAGCTTTAATCATCTTCATGTATGACTTTATTGTGACTACTAAGTGTTAATTATTTGAATAAAACTACTTATTAAATATTGTTTGTTTTTAAAAATATAGCCAAGCAAATGCTAATACCACTTTTGGAGTTAAAAGTATAATCCATGGTCTAAAACATTACTATTAAGTTTACTCTATGGTAAAGGGTTGAGAGTAATTTTGTACCCAGCCCAGTACCAAAACGTCAAAATAAAAGTATGCATGACCTTTTAGACAATCTTCAGGGTTAACAAAAGGCTTGGGTGCAAACACTGCAAAATGTCATAGTCAAAGCCTTTTTTTGGCTTTTTTTTTTTAACCTTTTAATAGTCAATTTGTCAGCTTATTCTTTGCCTCCTTTAGCTACAATTATTTCTTAGTGATCAAAACTTAATTTTACTAATTTCCCGTGTGCCAGAAAACAAAGTTGAAAATACATTTTTTTTCAAATGTTGCATCTTTGAAAGCTATCAAAAGCTTTTGTTATTGCCAGTACAGATCGGAACTGGAAATGAAGCCCACATATACAGTATCGCTCCTCCATTCTGTGTATTTCATGAGCTCGGTGCATAGAAAGTAAAAGAATCACTCCTTTATCACGATGAGATACAGCTTTATTTCAAAGGTGGATCAAATCAGCCCAACAGAGATCCACATGAACAGATCACATTACATTTTCCCTCCAGAGCACAGGCTTTGAACACAAAACTGTAACACATCATATGGTCTATACAAAATGGATTTAAAAAAGGAGAAAGTGAGAAAAAAAGAAACGGAAAATGACCTCTCAGTTTGTCCCCTCAAACTCCAGGCTGCAGCAGCCATAAAATCCAGAACCGTGTTTTAGCATCACACTAACCTTAGAATTGACACATAGTTGAGGCAGAGAGGAGAACTGGAGGACAGAGAAGGGGACAGAAATTAAGGCGAAGGTGGAAGTTAGCAGACGTGTCTCTTTGAGAGTAAAAATGGTCTGGTGCGCAAAATCTGTGATTCTGAAATGTTGTCCCTCCCACTCATATGAACATAGACTCAAGTACAAACTATAGCAAAATGTATCAGTGCTACAGAATTCACATGCACTGAGTGTATGCAGCATGGAAGCAGATGTTCTGGAGAGATGGGAACATGCCAAGAAATATCAGGCGCTGCCATTTATCTTGTTTTAGGAACCTCCATCTCTTGAGCACTTCCACTTCCACTGCTAATGCAAATTCACTGTATGTGCTTTGTGGGAGAAACACAAAAAAAAGAGCAACAATATGTTTGTTTCCATTTCCACACACGTATGACAACAGTCTGTTGTGCTGCCTTGAATGCATCAGTTTTGGTGTGTTGACATCTGGTTTGGTGTTTTGACAGGAACAACGGCCGGAAAAGGCACTTCAAAGTGTGGATGTCCCTTCAATTTCCTGGCGGTTCTGTCATAAGCCCTAAAAAATTTAAAATGCCAGCTGGTTGACTCCCTGTAAAGCTTTGAGTCCTCCAAATGACCAAAGGGGAATCTAAAAGAGACAAAGAAGAATACAGAGGCCTGGTTAGTGGATGTTGTGTAAACTGAGTAATTTAAAGGTTAAAAACAAAGAGTAAAAAAAAAAACTAAGAACTGAGATCCAATCAATGTGATAAAGGACTGAATTCATTATTTTACTTACAGAAAAGGTCTTCCAAGCTGTGTGATATGCATCTAGCCCTCAATGGAGACCTCTGGAACAATGTGTCCATTCAGCGATGCCTCCACTGACATCTCCACAGACTCCACAGCAAGCTGCATCTGACACGGCATGTCACAGATTTCTGACTTAGGCTCTTCTGACAGCACATCCAGACATTTCTGCTCAGCAGTGGCATCCTAGAAAGAAAAGGAGAGAGGAGGTTAGGTGGTTTAATAATAAATATGTGTGTTTTTAAGCTATGATCAAACAATTTTTACAATACACCAAACCGGATAGTTAGTCTATATGAAATTATAAAAGCTTGACAGTAACTCACAATGACAATTTCCTCTGCAGGGACAGGGACAGGAGCAGGGACAGGGGCAGGCTCAGACTCAGCGGGTGTCACATCCATAGATTCTGATTGGCTGTTGATGGTGTCACTAATTTCAACAATTTCCTAAATATATCAAGCAGAGAGAGGTGCCGGTTAAAAAACTAAGCATTAGATTTGTAAAAACATCATTAAACATGGCATTGTTTCAAGAAGCAACACAACAGATTTATGTCAACATGAAAGAAAATTACACTAAGTTGACAGTTACTTCTCTAACTACACCAATAATGCACTAGACGTAACTGTACTTGTTTGAACCAACCTGAATAATATTAAATAGTGCCTCATCACACTATATCCTACCACAATATGCATTAGAAATGTGCTATATGTGTTACAATAAACTGTAATTTGGGACATTTTTAAAATTAACTTTTTAAAATGTGCAATTATATAAACCAATTAATGGTTAAAACCATTTGATTCAAGTAAAGCTGAATGATACTGAAATATAATATTGCTCTATACACATATATATAAATGTTCAAACATGTTATGAATTACATTGTTTTGTGGCCCTCTGGTGGCCATGGGGCCTAATGCAACCACTCAGGTTAGCTTTGCTGTTTTAACTGCAACTATTCTGATCACAGAGGCAGAATGCCAACGAAATGCCAATTTTCCTGGGACTTGAAGGATGTAGCTTATTAACTGTAACAACTGTGTGTTGTGATAAATTCCTCAAGTAGTTCTCACCGGCTTGACAGCAGCAGACTCAGCAATGGCAACCTCCACTGCAGAGGCAGATTCTGTGACAACAAAGTCATCGACTAGGCTGTCGGCAGTCTCCAGGGTGGCAGGAGCCTGGAGCAAGATGTAGGGAACAAGGTGAGAAAGAATACAAAGATTTTCCACATACCAGCACACATATAGACAAAGTGAATGAGGGGAAATAATTAGCCAGCATCCCAGGAGAAAATGTATGAGAGAAGGATGTTGAATTTTTTATCAAATTATATTATAATAGTAACATAGAACAGTTTGGAGACTTAGTAATAGCATAACCAATACAATTCTGATTTCAGGGTGTATTGTAGAAAGCAGTCATCTAAAGCTGTTGCATGACATGAGGAGTTTGGGCGTTACCTCTTTGACTTCAGTTACAGGGACTTCTATACTATTCTCTACAACCGGAGCCTCAGGGACGGCGACTGGCACCTGGTGAGACAAGAGATACTGTCATGTCAATATTTATACATGCAGTATACAGTCAAAACTTTTTATACGAATGAAAGCTAATAAATAAAATGTTTTCAACCATATGACGAATTTCTTGATGGGGAGAAAGAATAAAATACTCACCTCTGGGATTTCCACAGATTGGACTTGAGCATCCTGGAGTACACAAACAAACAGCAGGACAGAGTAAGTTCTTGGTCTTAGTTAGTCTGCTGTTAAGTTACATTACATTATGTAATTGAAGAAACATGCCAGAAGAAGATTTAGCTATTGAGAAAGTTCTACTTTGTCTGATAACCTAACCAATGGGAAAAAATCTAACTTGTAATTATTTAGAGTTTTAAGATGCTAAAAAGAAAAGAAAAAGCTTTCTTTTATTTGTTATTTAGGAAAAAAATTCTAGCAATACTACTAATACTACTGAATGATAAATGGATGATGGGGAGCTTCCACAATAACAAATGTTCCAAGCCACATTCTGCACACAACAAGCAACGGACGATCACAAAATAAAAACGTAAAAACTACCTAAAAGTCAATAAGGCACTTCTTTTTTGTGTTTTCTTGGAAGAAGATAAGAAAAAGAGTGAAGAGGAAAGTATTTTTTTTATCAATTCAGCACCTCTGTCATTGTAACAGGCTCAGCTGGGACTTCAGTCGCCTCTTCAGCCAACACTTCTACTTCAGCGTCATCCTCTTCCGGGGATGCAGGACTGACAATGGGTTCAGTCACCTGTTCTGGCTCAGGTACCTCTGTGACAACCTCCACCACTGATTCCACCACTGTTTCCATAACCACCTCATCTGCAGCCTTCTCCACGGATTCCACCACTGCTTCTGCAACCACCTCATCTGCAGCCTCCGCCACTGATTCCACTGCTGCTTCCGTAACCACTTCATCTGCAGCCTCCGCCACTGATTCCACTGCTGCTTCCGTAACCACTTCATCTGCAGCCTTCTCCACTGATTCCACCGCTGTTTCTGCAACTGCCTCATCTGCAGCCTTCTCCACTGATTCCACTGCTGTTTCTGCAACCACCTCATCTGCAGCCTTCTCCACTGATTCCACTGCTGTTTCTGCAACCACCTCATCTGCAGCATCTGCATCAACTGCAGCATCTACAGTATCTGCAACATCTGCATCAACTGCAGCATCCACAGTATCTGCATCAACTGCAGCATCTACAGTATCTGCATCATCTGCATCAACTGCAGCATCTACAGTGTCTGCAACATCTGCATCAACTGCAGCATCTGCGTCTTCATCTGCAGCAGGTTCTGCTTCAGCGGAAACCTGGTCGCTAGTCTGTGCTTCTACCACTGGTTCTTCAATGGCTTCTGTGACGGCCATCTCCACCTCAGCCTCAACGGCTGTGTCTTCCTCTGCCGCAGCCTCAGCCTCCAATTCAGTCTCTGGCTCGCAGACATTATGCGTCTGCACATGCAAAATCAACATGGCACACATTAAGGAACCATGCAACATGCAACAATGAAACGAATAGACATGTCATCCGTATAAATCATTGATCAACCAAGTTTTTGTTACTGGACAAGAATATAATACAGACAAATGTACTGACCTAACATGCATGATCAGGACTACAGAGTTTATAATGATACATCAAACCATGCTGTCAATAAGAAGATCAGTCTTACCTGTTCAGTCTCTGTGGTTATGATTAAGGTCTCCTCTGTCTGAATCTGGAGAATAACAAATAAAAACACACTTTAGAAAATGGATAAACTGATCAATACATGGACAGACAGATGAATAGAGCAACAGCAAGATGGTGGCTGTAGTGAATTCAACCTACAACCTAAAGTCATCTTTGAACAATTGTACCTAGCTGTGTTTCTGAGGACTGGTTGCCTAGTTGCAACTTCCACACCAATTGCAGAGCTTAAATCACTCAATTAGAGTTATTAAGTGCAATTTTATGTTGTTTTTGGTCAGTAATAATCATCAATAAGGTCATTTATGTGATGAATTGCTTGCAGACCCATAAAAGTCATAAATCTTTTTTAGCATTTTCAATCCATGAACGAGCCTCTGTTTCTTTATGTTTTTTTTTCTCTGAAAACATTTGGAATAGGTGAGCCAGGCTGTGATCTGAGTTCTGTGTTATATAAGAGAAGGAGACCTGAGGTGGTTGTTATTTGTTAGGTGTGAGGCTTATGTCACAGAATTTTAAAAACTTTTCCATTGAAAGGGTTGTCTCTTGTCCAGTTACTGCTGCTATAAACTCACAAAACTTGAGTGGAAACTGTGAGTTACTCAGGTTACACTGTTCTGGTGTGACTTATGAGCAAAACCAACACATACACTGAAATGTGTTACCTTAAAGACAGCTTTTTGTACTTAATGAATGTACTGTATTATGCTTTATAGAAGGGCTGTGTGGTTAGCTTGCAAATATAGAGGGAGTCATGTCTTTAACTGTTTTCCTTTGACAGCTTGGCAATTAAAACAGCAAACACGCTGACATTTGAAGTTGTCTCTGTAAACTGTTCAAAAATCAAAACAGGTCTCACTTGAAATGCTTCAATTTTCTCTGCTCATACTCGTTCACACCTGTGAAACCTGCCTCTGGCTTATCCCACAAAGATATACTGCCTGAGCAAGTTGAGGTCAGAGACTCAGAAAATGGGGTTCTGTGTGTGTGTGAAAATGAAATGCTTGGCAAAAGGTTTGTTTTACCTCAGTCCCAGCAGGAGCCTCCACTGGAGCCTCAGCTGGGGGTATGACCTATGGAGGAAAAAGAAAGTTTATTCACAAATCAGTAAAACAATTATTAAGATATACATGTATTTAATCTAATAAAATAGAGCGGAGATAGTAGAAAGTACATCTCATTAAAAAAGGCACACAGGAATTTATTAACGAGCATTTACAGGAAATTTAAAATCCTTGCCTCATGTTACACTGCTTGTTTGTTTTTTTGTTTTTTTTTTGTTTAAGGTCACATTTTGGGAGGGGCACCCACACCGGCCCTAAAAATGTGCCCCAAGCAGAATAATTTTCTACTCAGAAGCTTGTCAGCCGAACCATAGCTGTGGCGGCCTCGAGGTGTTTAACAGAAAGAGTCTTAGCAGGTTTAATGCACACACTCGTCTTACAGTATGCTTTCTGTGTGAGTGTAGTTGTAGCTCAGGAGGAGGGGAGGAACATTATACGTCCTACAGGAATTTTACAACCAATAGCACAATGGGAGGCTGGTACGCCCATTTCTCATCTCCGTTTCTACAATCCAGCTCAGATTTAGAAAATGTGCTCATTCACCTTATTAAACTACCTTTGTCATCCGGTCCTTACTCCAAAACCCCACACAAATTTAAACTCCACATCTTTTATTTATTAAACTGCAGTGTCCTTGAGCAAGACAACAAATCTTTACCAGAACAAGAACAAGTACTTTTATTGGCATTACTAAGAAATACTTATTTTCTAGTTAATGGTAAGATAATGACAGAGGTCACCCATATTTTCCTAATTTTTTTGATGCCACAGATTATGTACAGATTGTGGCAACAGATTTCCTGGAAAGGACAATAAAGAGTCTATCTATCTGTCTATTTACTGGAACGGTTGGCAGTAGCCTAAATGGCCACTGGCGGCGGCACCCACTGTGCATCCAAGTCTGTTGAGCTATTGTGGCATTCGCAGGAAACAGCACATAAATATTGTAAATGTTCATAGTCCAACAGTAAATTATTTAGGCTGTCTAGTACCAGCTTGTCTTCAATGTAGGCCAAGTTTGCAGTATGCATGCTGCTACTCCTAGTCACGAACAGGCCAATCCTCCACTGACCAAAATCACCTAAGTCCCTTTATCTACAATAGTTAGAACAGTAGACAGTTCAAAAGCTTGTGGTTACACTTGAGTTACTTGACCATCAATCTCCACCTCTTTCTCTGCACTGTGTTACTGGGAGGTAAGGAATCCTGCTCTCCAAGATTTTAAAACTTCTGAACAAAAGCAAAGTGGGCAAAGTGCACGTATGGCTGAGAAGGGTAAATATATACTCTCCAGCTATATAGCTTTGGGGGGGATGGTATAGGGGAGAGAAAGGAGGAGGGAAGTAAAGAGTGAGGGAGGTGGACTATAGGGCCTTCCTTTGCTTGACAGGAAAACACACACACACACACACACACACACACGTATGCACACACGTGTACATAAAATACACACCCCCCTCCATTCTGTCCCAGCACCAGAACACTGTGTACCAAACTGATCTGCACACAGATCCTTCCTCATCGGCCCTGCTAGACAAATCCAGCACAAATCAAAGCTGATCTAGAAACAGACACTTTTTACATTGACCATTTAACCCATAAAGGGGGACATAATGTGCCTGCAGTGCAATGATCTCTTTGTTCCAACCACATTTAGGCTCTCACACAGATATTTAGGCTTTAGGCTCTAGATAGCCATGTAACAGTTTAAAAACTAGTTTGCCAAGTTTAATTCTTCCTTATTTGCCAAGACAACTACAAAGTAAAAAAAGGAAAACAGCAGCTTACTTAATGAATTCTTAGTATGAAAGGAGAGTTGTTAAATATACTTAAAAACTAAAAGGAAGAGTTTTGACTGTACTCAAATGTGTATGGTTAGTTAACAAAGCCCTATAGTGTCCCCGAACACAAGTCCATAAGAGTTGTGGGTGGTTGAAAGTATGTGGAAGAAGGCTGGACACTGGGGGGGAGGAAGGTCCGGTGCCCTCACGTGCTTTGCCACAAGGTGATAATTTCGTTAAAAGGATCACTTCGCACATCGTTTTTGGACACTATTTTCTCACTCTGGCCCTTTTTACACAGAGATCCTGCAATACTGCCGTGAAGAAGACCTGGCAATATGCTGGCTTTGTTGTTCTACACTGATAATGCTGCCCCAGTGCGAGATTTTAGATCTGGCATTCCTGAAGCAAAACAGGTGTGACGTGTAACCCAACAGCTTCGGGGCCCCGTCTTTCTCTGTCGTCGGCGCAGGGGCAGAATGCCCCCCATTATGTGTTCGGACATTTTATAAGATTCCCATGTAAAAGAGGCTTCTGGCTACCAAGTATAATGTGATACAAGGAAATAAGCTTACTAATCATTTGCAAGGGAGCTGTAATGAGCATTTTCATTGAGGGCACGGGAAGCAAATGTACATTGTAAGTCATCCCCTCACTAGAATTTGTCACATACTTTGAAGGTTGTGACAGCTGTCTGTAAGCTCCTCTTCCAACACACCAAATACCAAAGGCTAAACTACACAATTACAGATATACACAGACACACACTTGAGTATCCCCACATCCCAAAACAGAACTCACTATTCTACCTTCCCCCAAATGATAAAAGGGGGACACATGGATGTACGAGTGCACGTGCTGTGTAGACTAGCTAATGAGGATCCCTAGGTTGCCATAGGACAGGAGGAGACGAGAGCAGGGGATGTTGGGGGTGGGGTGTGGGGTGTGAGGGTAGAAGAAGGGAAGGTGGGAGTAGTGGAAGGGGGGGGGCAGAGGAAGAGTGAGGAGTGAGGGTGAATTTACAAGGGAAAGAGGGGTGAGGGACTGATGGAGGGGAGGAGTACAGGGCTGCAGGAACACAGAGGGAGCAAGCTGGTACAAAATGTTCAGCCTCGGCAGGAGACACACCCACCGTCGCTACAGGCCACAGAGAAATGAAACACATTCAGCAGTTCTGGGTGGACTGGGTGGTGGGTTTATACATACCTGACTCTCCGTGGTGACACCAAGAAGCGGAGGGGCCGCCTCTCTTTTGTCCCAAAGCCAGCTGAATACGAGCCCCATTTATACCTGCTCTGATTTCTATCACCTATCGACCAGCCTTGCCGACTCTAGCCTGACACGTGGTGCCACTAAGTGAAACACTTTCTTGCAGGACTGTGGCCTCAAGTGTATGAGCTGTCTGTGAGCAAAGTTTCATAAAGTCAAAATTGAGAAAAGATCATAAAACAAAGCAAGTAAAATGTTACTTTTTTTTTAACCTGCTACAGTATGTGTGTGCAGTTACAGCCGGCACTGACAAAATTTTAGTTTAGCAAAGGTGCAAATAAGTGTCTGCGCGTGTTTGTGAGAGTCTGAGCTGAATCTAGCACATCTGCGAGCGGTGAAGGAGCAGTCGAAAAGCCAGGAAAGAGGGGAGGAAAAAGAGAGGTGGGTGGTGTGGTGGGAGGGAGGGAGGGAGGGACAGGGAGGGGGGTGGATACTGCCAGAGCTTAACTTAACAACTATACAATAATGGGCAGTCCATCTCCAATAGAAATGTCTTTATTGGTCCTCTATAGCTCAGTGGGTAGAGCATAAAACTAAGAGGTTTCAATCAAAACCACCAATAAAATATATATATATATATATATATATATATATATATATATATATATACACATATATACATATATATTAACCCAAGGATTACTGGAGAACAGACTGGCACTGAGTGACATTGTAGCAAATGGCCAAGCCACTGATAACACTGTCTCCTCTTACACCCGTCCTCGGGGATGCATCATGCACTCACATGCACGCTGCAGCACATGTGAGCACATACATGTGCCCCATATGTGGTCATAGCTCAGTTACTGAGAGCAAAGACCATTCATTTAGTGTGTGTATGTGTGTGTGTGTGCATTTCCAAGTGTGTGTGTGTGTGGGCTTAGTTTCAACACACAGATGTACATATATGTGCAGTGTGCAGCTTGTGTGTGTGTGTGTGTTTGCACATAGCCTGCAGTCTACTGGCGGAAACAGAACATTCTGTTCCCAAAGTGTGTGGACGATGGCTACATGACACAACAAAGACCATTTGTTTTTTTTTTTGCAAATGAAAATGTATAGATTTTGAAGGTAAACACAATTATTTAGTGAAATGCTTTTTTAGTACACAGCTCGGTGTACAGTAAAGATAAAATATAAGCTATAACTTTGCAAAATAAATAGCCAATAGCCATGCATTTCTTTCAATACAACAGTGGACAAACTACAAGCTGTTTCATCCCATTCACCAACTTCATTGACTTTAAAACTCAAAACTTAATCGATAGTACATTACAAAAATGCAAAATGAAAAAACTCCTGCCCAACAGCATGGTAATAAATACATATGTTTAGAGAGCCTTTAGATCTCCCTATCTGTCTTATCCAATCAGCTTATTCAAAAAGTACAATTTCAAAGACATAAACATGTTTAGCGGCACAGAAATTAGGTAATGATGTATAAGGACTGCTGAAAACGCTCCACCTAGTCCCCCACTTACGGAGCCTTCTTATCCCTCTCCTACTTTTCACCTCTTTGCTAAATGGAACATGTTGTTCCTTCTGCCTTCCACCCCCACCAATTCCACCTCCCTTCTCCCTTAAGGACCCAGCCACAGCACATACCATCTGACTAAACAGCATCTAAACTGGTCGTCCACAAAACCAAAACTTACATTGACATTCTATATACAGAAACAGCTGCTGAAAGGTGTCTCTTTCCTGCAAACCATTGGCAAAATGCAACCTACTAAAGATTATTTGTCTATCAGGACATTCCAAAATAACAAGCATCTAACCTGGCAAAATACCCCTCCCTGGCAACTGCATGCACCTTTTTTTAAACATACTTAACTTTCTACAGCTCATTACCTACAGAAGAAATACACTTGGTAAGATGTCTCTAGAGAATCCCATATGACTCTGAACAATTTTGATTTGGAAGTAAGCAACAGCAATTACAGTTAACAAATGCAATGTTTGGCAGTACGTCAGTGTTGCTAAGCAGCGTGTGTAGCCATGTTGGAAATGACGTTCTTCTGATAACACTTCTTACTTTTTCAGAGAATATTTTGTTTGTACGCCCCTTGGCGTTTCGGAGAATATTGCAACAAACACCTCTGTGGAGGTGCAGTGTCTCGTGCAAGTATAAACAAAGCTTTAAAATGTAAGAAGCTCACTCTAGGATTTCTACAAATTGAGACACCAAAAACTATCACAAATTCTAATGCAAGATCTGGTTGATTCAAAATTGCCAGGTAAATTATCATGCCATATCATGCCTTATTCTCCTGTTAATATCTACACTCATAGGTCCCCACCAGAGGACCTACAGAGGAAGATGAGAAGATTAATTCCATAAATATTGCTTTAACCTGAACATTGGTTGATATGTTGATTTTCTAGGGATAATGTTCTTACCTCAGGTACTGGTTCTGTTTCAGGAATGATAGGTTCAGCCTCCTGTACTATCTCAGCTTCAACTACAGTGGACTCCACTGGTGGAGACTCAACGACTGGTGCTGCTTCAGTGACCGGGGCTGGGACTTCAACCTTGACTTCTGCTGGTGTCTGTTCCAACACTACAGGCTCTGGTTCTGGTGCCTCTACTCTGACTGGGACAGGCACTGCGACAGGTTCTTTCACAACTGGTTTTAGTTCTACTTTTGGAGTCTCCACAATGGGGACGGCAATGGGAACGGCCGCTGGAATCTTTTTTGGTGCTGGAGTTTTAGTCGCTTTCTTTGGGGTTGCTCCAGGGGGCGCACTCACTGCAATCCCGGGGGTTGCCTTGACTGGTGGGTTGGATGCATGCTGCTCTTCGAGGGCTCTCCTCTGGGCCTGCTGCAAGGTGGAAAATACACAAAAACATCAGGGTTAATGATTGTTGTCGTGTTATTATAGTTGGAGCCACTATTTAAGTTTCTTTTCATGCATTAATCCTCAAGCTTTGACTCATTGTGCTACAGAAAATTATATTAGTTCAATTAAATTAGGTCACCCTCTTGGGTACTTACTTAGTGTGACAATTTACAGTGAATTCAAAGATGCATCGAGTATCTAAAGCTAACTGCTAATTGATGGAGGTGGAATAAAAAATAATAATGGGAGTTTAAGGGGTATGCTACTCATGCTCTCATTGTGTCCAGATACTGATGTTGTTGTCAGTCTGGGGTTTGTTCGTGTCACATTTCTGTCTGCAGGAATACCGCGCATGCCTTCCCAGCCAATTCTAACATGTTTTTCAGCTCTGGACAAAACCCCCTCTGGCTTTAATGGAGATTTTAGGAGCACAGACCACTGGAGGGAGGGGCTGGGTGACTGGGAGTGGGCCCAGCAAAGCTAGTTAGATAATGGGAGGTAATTAGTTGAATCAGAGCAGTCCTGACAGGTCTGGTGAAGCGGGAATGGAAACCGCGCGAGTCAGCAGCACTGCTGGGTGCCCTGCGGGCCAGACAGTGGACCTAATCACATCATAATCAGGTTATAATCAGGTTACAATCACTCTCCGAAAATGCTTTTGTGAGACCGACAGCCAGTTGGGCATTCGCAGTGCTAGACCAATACTGTAAGCCAACGAGGCGTGTGTGTCCATCTAGCCACCATCAAAACATCCCCTCCCTCATCTTTGCCCAATAATATCTCTCTATCCAGAAATGCAAACCACAGTACCACCATGTAAAATATACATTTAAATTAACTTTAAGTTGTTAATTGTCTTCCCTGGGCTTTATTAATGATGCCCAGACACCCTTGGAAAGAAACACTTTTTTATCAAAGAGGGTTTGTTTGCATACAAAGGTATGTGTTGCCAAAGGAGAGCACTCAGTTTGACTTCTTCGAGTGCCCAGCTGCTCCTTCCCCTCCTGTGCTCTGATATCTCTGAGGGAATTAGTGATAACACCCTGCTGTAAGTTACTGCAGGGGCCATTTTTATCTGAGTGTCACTGGCAGACTCTCAGAGAGATTGTGCAGACACCAATCTGGCAAAACTAAGGCAAGACATTCCTTCGGCCAGCACACTACCAAATACAGTTGTGTGTTGTTGAGAGTCTCAGACTGGCCAGCCAGTGAGAGGCTTAAGGGGGGGTGGCTGAGGAAGAATGCCACAAACTTCATACGGACAAGTCTTCCAAGAGCTGAAGGACTGGGCTTCAAGTGGGCCTTCAGTGGTGAAGCAAGGGATACTTTTTAAGTTGAAATTAGATAATATAGCCTGATTTGAAACAATCAATTATTATGATTAGAAAAGAACTAGATAAGAATTTTGGGGGAATGGTGTTTGTGTGGAGTAACCTCTGCCCTCTGAAAAATTGGAACTTCTGGTGTTATTTCTGATTTATTATAGACCCCTCCCCCCTCTCTGCCACGCCCACTAGATCTCTTTTGGGCACTGAATGTTCAGAAGTATAATTTCTCTCAGTTACCTAAGGGGGGTGGGGCGAGCCAACATTCCAATCATCATGTCATCGGTGCTGCGCCTTCAGTGTATTTAATTATGTAATTAGTTAAACATAATAAGTGTATCATTGTAAGTGAATGTGGTACTTTTGAGGTTTAATGAGAATAGAAATACATAAACCTGGAATGTACATCCCAGCATTTCACCATTTTATGCAGAGCGCACGTGGCGCGCGGGTGTAAAGCCAAGAAGTTTCTTTGTCTCTTGTACTTAATAGCAGAGACAGATGCATCTTCATCTGATCTTGAGCTTGATATGTCGTGCTACTGAAATGAACTGTATCATTTCAATATAATTCCTTTTCATGTGCATTTTCGGTGCAGCCATACATCTTTGAGAGGTTTTACGCACAGAGCTTGGAGCGCTCCTCGGAGTTGAGTGCGTCACAAGAGAAGAAAACGTAAGAAAAGTCAAAATGATTGTTACAGAATGAAAACAAACCGATGTGCCAATAAAAGGAAAAAAAAAACATCTCGTCTATTTTTTTTTACCTTTCTGTTACATCATGAGCATTATTTGTATTTGTATGCATCAGCAGCCACTACAGCTTACAGTAAAAACAATTGTATGTCATTTGGAAAAACGGAGACGGAGACGCACAGAGTTTAAATAGCCACCAGCATCAAAACTGACACATTTTCGGAGGGAAAAAAGTCCCGACAAACTCACTTGAGCTCACATTATAATTAAGATCCTAAAGACTTTGAATATGCTCATGATGAGAACAACAAATATAAGGGAAATGATGCGCGCCTGCCACCACTTACCACCCTCCTCATGCGACGCTTGTTCTTCTTCCTCTTGCTGGGCATTTTGGTGCGTGCTGGTGAAAACAAGACAGAACCCAAGAAATGAAGCGAGCAGAAAGGCAGAGTGAACAAACTGGATCTTTATAGAGCCCCGGGTCGATCTCTTACCTTTGAACCGAACCTATGGGAGGACTGGGATGAAAGATGGGGGGCGTGGAGAGGCAGACACACATACACGTCCCCCCCCCCAACACACATGCACGTGCACGACAGCTCAGTGAGATGATTGTATCAGAGTTGGGCTACCTATTGGCTGGATGGTGGGATATGTTATGTAACCCCTCCATCAAAGCAGAGAGAGAGAGTGGCCCATGGGCTTGCAGAGTGCCACACCCCCTTTCATGGAGCAGTTAGAAATACTTTTTGACTCAAGCACATGGTAACAACGCCACATGTGCTCTAAAATATTTTGTAACTACTATATGTTTGGAGAAGAACATAAAGCATGCTATCATTCAAATCTTATTCTTGATAAAAATGCGCACAAAGAGCCATTTGAATACAAAACAGTGTGTGCTACTGTCAACTCTTTTGAATTCATTCAATCGTGAAGCCAGAGAATAGTTTTCATTGTGCGCATCTTATTCAGGGAATAAAGAGAAAGAAAACATGCACATGTGTTTACGCCCACCGCCCCCCTGCACTGCATCAGTTGTGAGCACCCATTGTCTCCATACTTGTGTACAACTGTACTCCTGCATAATTACAGAAGAGGGAAAGTTTTATTATGTCATTCATTGTCCTAATCATGTTAAAGAAACACTGACTTTCATAAATGTGTTTCTTTACTTAAGTGAGATAAGTTTTCATTTTTGGGAGGAGGGGTTTTGTTTAGCTGCTGCTGTTATATTCAAACTGATGTTATACAACATGGCAGTCTCGCCTGAAGGCTTGCAACTTGATTTATTCTTCAACAGTGTGAGTGCAGATGGATTACATGCAAAATGCTTCTACATGTCTCCAGCACGTCCATGGCGCTCATTCCATGTGTCACTGTAGCTCAAGAAAACTTCAGCAAAACATACAGCTGCTGTTGAACCACTGATGTTTCTGTCACTGGAAGTCACCAGACTGCAAATCTTAAAGTAATGCTGTTACAGTCCGCCTCTTAGAAAGAGTTCAAGGGGAATTTAGAGATGTTGGACACAATAATGCTTGTTTTTCAGATTCATCTTTTTAGCAATGTTGATGAGAGGATTAAACAGGGGCACCCTGGTAGCTTACCTAGGATTACACATTACAAAAGACAGCCTTAGCACTTTGCTGCATGTCATCCCCTATCCAAAATAATGCAAAATTCAAACAAAAAAACAATATATTAGCAGAGCTGTGAAGCAAAAACAACATTGCCAGATGGATTAAGTATATATAATGACCTCAGTTGCTTTCTTAGATTCCACTAGTGTTACAAAACATTTGGCCTGATAGTCATGGCTGAGGTTGAGCTATGTACTCGCCTAAATCAGATCCTCTAAACAGAAATGCTTTTAGAGTATGACACAGATTTACACTTTCATCAGCCTGTAGCTAATGTAACAGCACAGACCTGTAATAGCACCCCACAAACAGGGTCAGCTCCAGGCACCACAACCCCAATACAAGTTGGGCTTTCTGAGGGCCTGAGAGGTTGCCAGGCTAGTCCATCTTGATGGTTCAGAAGGAAAGGCAGGTGACGATTAAAAGTTATCAATGGAATGTGAGTAAGCAGACTGCCTCCCTCCCGCCCTTCATGAATGAGAATTTGAGTTTTGCCAAAAGCCTGTAGTTTTTGAGGTTTGGTTAAATTATTGAAGTGTGACCTGTTTTTGAATGGACCACATGGCAATTTTCTAAAGTACTGTAAAGCTACCTTTAATTTCTTATTCCTGAAATTCAGTAAGAAAAAAACATTGAAGAAAAAAAGTGTCAGTCAAGTGGAAATATTGGTCTGGTGGTGTAACTTGATTAAAACTCAACTATTTCATTTGGATTCATCCTCCTAAGACCATGAATGTTTCTACCAAATCTCATATAAATGTACCTAATCCTTGCCAAGACATTGAATGGGTCTGTATATTCCTATACGCACATTGCTGTATGTATAAAGCCAGGGAAAGGAGTTGTAATAAATGTTACCACATACTTGCTCAACCGCTGCTGAGATGAGATTTCAATTAAGAGTAATTATCACAACCCTGTGATAGCCTGTGCTTTGTGATGGAGGGGGTCGATGTGCAGGTGGTCAGGACTATAAATATCGGGGCCGCAGCTGGATGACAGGCTGGACTGGACAGCAAACATGGACACTCTCAACAGGAAAAGGCAGAGCCGTCTGTTCTTCCTAAGAAGGCTGGGGTCCTTCAACATCTGTAAAAAAAAACTGCTGCAGATGTTTTACGGTGGCCAGCGTCCTCTTTTATGCTGTGGTTTGCTGGGGAGGAAGCAGCAAGAAGAGAGACGCCGCTCGACTGGACAGACTGTTGAGGAGAGCTGGCTCAGTGGTGGGCACAGAGCTGGACTCTCTGGTGACAGTGGCAGAGAGAAGGACCCTGGACAAACTGCTGTCCATACTGGACAACACCCACCACCCTCTGCACAACACCTTCACCAGGCAGAGGAGTGTGTTCAATGGCAGACGGCTGTCCCAGTCCAGCTCCACCAACAGACTTAAAAACTCTTTCGTCCCCCTAGCCATCAGACTGTACAACAGCTCTCAGTCAAGGCAGGGAGGACAATAGACAATGGCCACAATGGCAGACACATTTCTGACTCCATCTGTACTACCTCTGCTTAATGCTGTGACTTTCATTCATTGGTGGACAGCCTAATTTTAATTGCACATAGTTTACTTGTATCCCTATTTGCATTTCTATATCATATTTTGATAAAAGCTATTTTATTTCTACTTTTACTTTTTGTATAGTTTTCTATTTGTATAGATGCTAGCCAGGCTTGACCTCTAAACACTTAATTTACCTGCACATTATTGGACTATTTACTATACTGCAGTATTTTTCTAGTTTAATTTAATTTGCAAATGGTTAATTTCCCTGTACATATTTAATCTCTCTGCACAAGTCTATGTATCTATCTATCTATCTATCTATCTATCTATCTATCTATCTATCTATCTATCTATCTATCTATCTATCTATCTATCTATCTATCTTATCATTCTAACATCCTCATCACACCAGGGTTTAGTCATTATCAGTGAACACAGAACATAAAGTGATCAGCCTAGCAGCAGAGAAATAATCTGTATACTACTAGTATACTCTCTGTTACATTATTGTATTGCAATGTATGCAGCTTCAATCCCCCACCACCCCACCCATAAAGAGTTGAAAAATAAATAATGTTTGTTTTCAGTTACAACTTCACGATTTGGTTGATCTATTCATCAATCTTTCTCTACTTTGAGCTTGCGTGTACTTCTGAATGTGCTGCTGTTGAGCAGGTTTGTCAGGCCATATAGCTGAAGGGTCAACTGTGCTGCCGATTCAAAAAAACTGAAGGTTTTAACACTCAAGAACAGGTTGGCCACATCAGAATCAACTGACACTAACCCTGAATACACAGAAAGGTGTTGTCACAGTAGGACAAAGGGACTGAAGAGAGAGACTGAGCTAATAGTGTATAGAAATTTGCTCCGCTGGTGCCAGGATTAATCAGTGATCCAATCTTATCTTCAAGGCGGTGATAGAGACCTGGCAATCAGCAACCCCTTCCCTCTGTCTCTAGCCTGCAGCTTGCTATTCTGTTTGTAAAATAAACAAAACAAGGCACACCCCGCCAGAAATGCATGCCTACATCGTTTACAGTCCTAATATTCTAAAGAGGCTTGAGTCTCCATTTCTTGCAAACATCGGTGTGGACAGTCAGGTCCTGGAGAATGCATTTAAGAAGCAAATGGAATTTGCCTGCAGCCCAATACATGTTATAAGAGGCAACTGGTCGAGTGAATTGTCGTTCAACACGGCCTGTTCACTTGTGAGTGTGAAAAAGGCACTAAGACATGAATCATAAAAACTATAAAACTAGCTGATGGAAACCTTGCAGATGTGTTTCATAGACAACAGGATTATTTATTTAAACTGCAGGAAAAGAAGAAGACAATCCTCCTTGTAATACACTTTGAAACACAAGATAGTTTCCCCAAAATGTGTGTGTCCACTGGGGGTCTCTTGGCAGAAAATGACTGAGGCCTCTGAGTTCTCAGAGCAGAATAAGCATCTTTAAATAGATGCTAAAGTTTACCTGTGTGAGTTATTACACTCTCACACTCACATCAGGCACATACTGGAATGTTGTTTGTCAACAAACACACCACCCTATGTCATCTCCATAGTTACCGCCCCTCTCCCAGCCATGCAAACACACACACACACACACACACACACACACACACACACACACACACACACACACACACTCACACAAAGACGAACACTACCTAAATAACTCTTTGGTTTGTGGTTTTCAGATTTTTTGTCCAGAGAAATTTTGGCTACAGAGATATTTACAGGAGCAGGGAAGGCATGCTTGGACTGTTACTGACTGGAGGGTTTTATGGTTTTCAATGACTTGAATTAGCTCTGATGTCAGTTTGAAAGACTAATGGACAGACTCTGATTCCATCTCATCTTTCACATAGAAACTTATATAAAATAAATAAACCAATCTCCAATCAAGATGAACGGTTTTATCCCTTGACCTCGAACCCCCGACCTCATTCCCTCTAGAGCCACCAGCTCTCACCAATTCATGTGACCCCCTGACATTTCTATATACCACCAACAGCAGCCCACCCACATACACAAACAGACACGATGTATGAGCAAGAACATATGTGTATTAACAATGTATAATCTGAAAGGTGCCACTCTCTTTTTACATGATGGGAAATATCACATCAGACCAGATGCAATCTTGGTGTCATCTTAATTAAAAAAATATAAGTCTGTAAATATATAAAGTAAAGATTTGCAAAAGCATACACTCTTCTGATTTCTTGTTGATTTTATTTATTTATTTATTTATTTTTTGATTGATTTGTTTTAGAACTCAATATTTGTTAAAAAGAAATTGGGTGAATGATTTTGGGTTGGTCAGATATCAGTAACTGCTAAGATGAACAACATTTCTGAGGGTAAGGGAAAGAGGAAGGATAGGTCTAATAATGAGCTTTTGCTTGAATCAGAGAGGACTGTGGGAGTAAATGGTAGTTTTATCTTTTTGTTAATCAGAACTTGTCT